AAAAAGAAAAGGAGGGGCTCTCTGCCCGCTGTAATCTGCACTGCAGACCACTTGCTCAGCAATAGAGAGATTCTGGGTGACTCAGCACCAGCTGCTGGGGGGGAGGGCTCAGTGGGTCATGCGCCGACCTCCCTCTAGACTTGAAGTAAGCTTCCCACAATTAGCTGCTGTGAGCTCTGGAACCATGCTCACCACCAAAAATCCTCACAGGTTGTTGCGGGCTGTCTGCTGCTGCAAAAACCCCTCTGTGGCCTGCGGAGATGGGGGCCAGGGACCAGGGGCTCAGGGTGCCCCTGGCAACACAGCTCTAGGTGGGTGGGGCAGGCCCCAAGGCACCACAGGATGTGGTCAATGGCCCCCACCAAGTCAGAGCAGCACGCACTCCTGCATCAGCCAACCCACACAAACTCGCCCAGAAAGCCCCGGCTGAATCACACAGGCGCACAGTTCACGGCCCTACACTCCCAGGAAAACTCCCTGTCTCAGCCTGTCCCAATCAACCGTTCGCAGATCAGGCCGAGCAGCCCGACAGCCAATTGCCACCAAGACAGCTCTGCATGCACAGTGCGGAAATCGGGGACCTAAGGCAAGTCGCGCACTTCTGGGTCTGTTGTAGTCGGAGCGTGCTTGCCCGGCGTTTCCCCGGCTACGCAGCACAAGCAGTGCGGAGGGTGGGGATCCAAGGCCGCACACGCACACACGCAGTCCTGCGCCAATTCCAGCAGACCAGTGCAGTCCCAGCCCTGAGCCTCTGTGGGAGGGCCCAGCCCTGAAAAAATGGTGCCCTCCTGTGCACTACTCGTGTGCAAGCTCCACATCTGGGGAACAATGGTCCCAAAAACCTCCAGCTCCCGCACCAAAGGCACCCAGTTCAGTCCTTCCTGGAGGCTCCTGGGCCCCGCTCACAAAGCTGCTCCCTCCACCAGGAACCGGGTGAGTGCTCACCAGCGAGCGAGTCGGTTTGCCGGCTCCAGCTGCCCTCAGCCTCACCGAGCCGAGCAAAGAGAGTCCTCACTATTTTCTCCTTCCAGCTATCATAGAATTCCTCTTCCCGGCAACGTAACTCTGGGGTGGTGAGCACGGTCTCGCCGGAGGGTCTCGCCCCCAACCGGAGTAGCCTCCCCACGGCTGAGGTGACCCTCACGGGGTTCACCCTCTCTCGTCTCCGCCCCTCCTACCAGACTCGACGTGGTCTCCTCTTTAAGTCCTTCATTTAGAGTTTCTGCTCATCTAGGGTCCAGGAAACTTCTGAGGTTGAATATCTTATAAATTATATGTAATTTTGTTGTGATCCTGGGAGGTAGTCGGCACAGCGTCTGTCTATTCCGCCATCTTACTGGAAGTCTCCTATTTGAACTCTTTCATTTTTGTTTTCGTATTCTTAGACCCACAGACTCTGAGGAACATTAAATTGATGTCTGATTGTATTGCTGACATCTCACCTGAAACACGTGCACTGACAATGCCAAGAAGAGGGGACTGGCAGGGGTTGTCCTCATTACACCAGCCGAGCCCTTCCCGGCAGACAGACGAGGTAGCAGCACTGAAATCCAGACTGTGACGGGGACCGGCTGCCTGGGGTCTCAGTGGTGTCTGACACAATGTACCTGTTTCTCCCTCTGTCTCAGCAGGCTGAAGCCACTGCACAAAAATATGCAAAGTCTAGTGTTAACGGAGTGTCCATGATGGACGTAAGGTCCTATGTCACCCTTGACAACACACCCCTTTGGTTAAGCCCCTGGTCAGGCTCCCCTATTTCTCTCCTACTTGGGGACCTAGTGTGGTTAGACCACCGGTCACTGCATGCTCGCCCAGAGAAATGTCAAGCCACAGAAGAGTTCTGCCCTTTTTCACCCGCTCTTGTTACCACCCTACTCTCCCTGGCATCCTTTTCTGAACATCCTCAGAACCGCATCCCAAAGTGCCCACAGCGTGTTCAGGTGGCGTGTGATTTGATTCACAGGACAAGACGTGGGGCATGGCCTCAGGGGTTTGTGGGGACAAGTCAACCTCACTTTCAGGTGTAAGGAACAGCTCCGGGGATCTTCGGGCCGTTAGGTAGGCCTGACGCCCATGTCTGGCTCTTACTAGCTGTGTGACTTCAATCTCTCCACCTGTGAAATTCAAACAATAGACCCCCCCCCAATAGGCTGGTGTCAGTAATACTCTGCACCTCGCACGTTCAGAATTGTTCTCTTTCCCTCCATGTCTTGAGCCCAGTGATTGGCTGCAAACCTGAGTATTCTGCTAACTAGATGAGGGACGGAAATATCCTGTGCCACTTTTCCTAACCCCCCAGCCAAAGCCTTGGGGTGTTGTTTGGGTACAGCTGGGAATTGAAAAGGGGGCTTGGACACTGGGCCTCCCTTAAGCCACAACCGAGGGAGACCCTTTCTGGCAGAGGGTCCTGGGAGCAGGGCAGCCTTGCTGGGGGAAGGAAGTCTGATTCAGCAGGAGTTTCGGGGGGAGCCCAGCAGGAAGGGAACACCCAGTCGGTGTAGCCAAAGAACCCATAGGAAGTGGGCGTTCCGTGGGAGTTGAGGAACAGGCCCAGGCTACTTCTGCCCTCCGAGGTCTTGGAAGTTCAAAGACCAGAGGACATGGAGCTGAGCAGCGTTGCCCTGGCCCTGGGGCCTGCTGGCCCGCTCCTCTTGCTCCTGTGCATCCAGACCCTGGCTAGCCCAGCTGCCGATACCTGTCCAGGTGAGATGGACCTGAGCGTTCTGGTCCCTGAACGCTGGTACCTATCCACTCATTGACCACGTAGAGAGCTTGGTGACGCACTCTACACGTCTTCTTCTGAGGACGCTCAGCAGCCCGGCTTTATCCTAAGGCGGAGAGACTGTTGGCCCAAGGTCACACAGGTCAGAGGGAGAGGGGACAGGGGCCCTCAGAGTCTGTCTGACTCTCAAGCCGATGATTCGCCCCACGGAACTTCACGGCTGGACCTGACTCTGTCCTGGGAGGAGGGGAGTGGGCTTCCAGGAGAGGCGCCCTAAGATTCTCTAATCCAAGGGCTCCCGCACTTAGTGGAGGGTTGTTAATGCAGATTTCTGGCCCCTACCCCGGAGAGGGAATCAGCAGATTTGGGGTTGAAAAGAGAGCATGGTTTCCCTCTTGGTTGTGGGGCCCAGGGCAGAGACCTTGGGCCCACAGCTGCTGAGAGGCTGCTTCTGATGACAGATCAGCCCCCGAGGTGAAGACATAGGGATGAAGGCAGCGTCGACAGTGACTTCCGGCGTCTCCAGTGGGCAGAGAGAGAAAGGGGGTGCACTGAAAACCAGCAGCACCTGGGGCCCTGTGAGGGCACTGCGGGTTTCGGGTTCACTAAGCTCTTTCTTCGGAGGGAGTTTGGGTTTTGTAGTCACACACTGACACTCTGAGAAGTCAGCGAATCTCTGGTCCCGGTTCTGCCAGACAGAGTTTGCTCTGTGTCCTTGGATCAAAAGCGTCCCCTCTCCAGGGATCTACACGGACCCCTTCCAGCTCAGGAAGTCCATGGTCACGTGCCCAAGGAATGGGGGTGACAACGCTACAGTGACCCAAATTCCCCAAGTGTCTTATAAATATTTATTGTCATTATTTACTGACAGTACCCACGTTTATGAAGTTCTTCCTATGCCACGATTTATACTAAGATCTGAAAAAGGTGCGTCATCCGGTCTAATCCTCCCACAGCCTCATTCCTGTCCCCACTGGCAGCCCAGGGGACAGAGCTCAGAGGGGCTAAGTGACTTGCCTGAGGACACACAGCACTGAGGAGCTGGATTTCCTTCAGGCAGGAGGGACTCCAAGGCCAGGGCTCTGCCTGTGTCACTCACGCCCCACCGCCCGGTGTCCACCAGCGGCAGGAAAACCTCATTTCCAAGCTGACCCTCCATCTGGCCACAGCCATCTGCCCAGGCCTGAGGTCACCTCGGCGGCCTGTCACCGGCTGTGCAGGCTCAGGCCAGCACACCGACTGGCGCTTTGTCTCTCTGCAGAGGTGAGGGTGCTGGGCCTGGAGGGCTCCGACAAGCTCTCCATTCTCCGGGGCTGCCCGGGGCTGCCCGGGGCCGCAGGACCCAAAGGAGAGGCGGGCGTCGCAGGAGGGAGAGGTACGTGCGGGCGAGCGCGGGCCTGAGCCCTTGCCTGTCAGCCCCATTACAGTGGGGCGGTGGCCCTGTGGGTCTCAGGTGGGGAGCTTGGGTCTTGCCCTGCTCAGAGCCAGCGTCCACCCTGGGGCCTGAAACTGCCTTAGGATGGAGCCAGTCTCTGCAGTGTTTTATGAGCTCACGTTTGGGCCTATTTTCATAGAGTATCTGCTTCCTGGTTCTCAATCCAATCACCTAATGCGCTCTGTGTGTGTGGACAGAATACGTGGTTTCTAGTGTTGACCCACCCCTGCTCTATGTGGGCACGGCAGGACTAATTCTATGTCCCTCTGTAGTGTCACCTGAGCTCTGGGGCTGAAAGCTTGCAGGTACGGACTTCCGATGGGGACACTGCAGCCATGGAAATTAGGAAAAGTCCACAGGTTCCCTTGGTGTGGGGCGAAGCTGGGACTCGGACCCCCAGTTCTCTAGGAGGAGCTCCTGGTCTCCAGGTCCTGGCCTCTGACTGGACAGGGGAGCCCTGTGAGGCCTGGGGTTCAGGTACCCTCCCTCTAGTTCCAGAGGGTCCAACCTGGGGCCGCCACGGCCACAAGGATAACCAGGAGCAGCGATTCCCAGCGTGGGATTTCGGGTCCCGGTCTGGGAGCTGGGCTCAGTGATGTGTGTTGGAATTTGCAGGAGAACAAGGCCCCTCCGGAGTCCCTGGGAAGGCAGGACCCTCCGGACCCAAAGGTAACACCCTGATGAAGAGTGGAGACCCCCAGGCCTGGCAACAGAGAGCAAGAGAGGGCACTTCTGGGCTGTCACATGTGTCATTTCAAGGGAACCACACCCTGCCCCACACGGGACACTCGGCTCAGCCAGGGGCTGCGTCCATGTCAGAGCCCCTGGGGACTCGGGGCAGGACCCTGACCACAGCCCAGCACAGACTCCTGGCCCTGAAAGAACGGTGGGGGTGTGTCCACCTCATCAGCTGTTTTCCTGCCCCGACCTCACTCCAGCCGTGGGAGGGCTTTGGGGACAAGACAAGCCCTCCTCTGGATGAGCAGGCGTCGGGCTTGAGCCTTGTCATCTCCCCGCACGGGCAGCGCTGACCCTTCTCTCTCCATAGGAGACCCAGGGGAGAAGGGCTCACGTGGAGAGAAAGGTAAGCCCGTCCCGCCATCCCGAGGGGGTGACTCGGCCGACGCTGAACAGAAAGGGTTCCCAGTGTGTGGAGCATGGGCCTGGGGTGGACACCAGCCCCCTCCTATGGGAGAGGTTTCTGGAGGGGGTGTGGGGTGGGGGTCCACATATCTGTCCAAGCCTGTCCCAGTCCCCCCTCTCCTGTCCTGGCCCCGGACCCCTGAGCAGGGAGTCCTGTCCTGTGCTCTCCTGGATTCTGTCCCCGGGGCTGCAGTAAATTAGAGCAAAGTTTAAAAATGCAAAGCCGGCCGGAAGTGGCCGGGACTATTAACGACAAGCTCTGGTCTGAGGAGATGTGTAAATGTAGAATATAGGCCTTTAAATATATCAACGTATATCGTAACTATGTAAAGCAGTATTACACATTTATGTGTTACATATGCTCATGCATACAGTTTATCAAATATAAAATACGCTCTGATATATTTTCTTGCAAAATATTCCAAAATCTCAGAGAAGCATGCTCCGGGAAATACAACCCCTGGACCGCCCCCTCCCCCCACTTTACCCTGAGGAGGGTCCCACTCCAGAAGCCTAGGTCCCACCAGACATTGTGTCTAAATGGATAAAATCCCCACATGGCAGCCCCCATCCCATGGCCACCAACTAGGCAGGCGGTTCTGGAGACAAGGGGGGCTTAGGGAGACCCCGCAAAGGAGACCCCCTCTCTTTGGCACAGGGGAGCTGAAAGAGGTGGCCTGTTAATAAAAACCCAGTGATTCGGTTTCTCCCAGGAGCACAGAAGGGTCACGGCCCCCCGGGTAGCCAGGGCAGGGTGGCTTTACTGGGCTGTCGTAACCACCACCATGTTGGAAAGATCTAGAAAGTGCCTCTATCTTCTGCTCAGCGTTTGGGGACATGAACATAAGAGTCCCGCCTTAAATGCGTGTTTTCTTGTCTGTCCGCATCTGCAGGAGAACCTTGGAAGCCTGATCAATGTCACAGAGGTGGGTGACGGGCCCCGGTGTGTCCGGCCAACCCAGAGGCTCTGTCTGTCCCTTCCTGTCCGTTAGCCAATTACCGAGGCCAGCGCTCAGCCCGGACACCTGTCAGCTGCCTTCAGAAGGACCGGAATGACATTCCTGGTCTCATGCCCTGAAAATGTTAGCATGTACCCCAGCGGCCCAGGGCCTGGGGACCAAGGCGGGGACAGCCCTGGGAGGTGGCGATGGCCAGCAGACTGTGCGTGGCCATCACGGCTTGGTGGCCCTGGGTTGCGGTGCTCTGTCCCAGGCTTCGAAGTCCTCCCCTGCCCATACCCGCACTTGTCCCCGCTCCTCCGTCCTCACCCGACAGCCTCCGCCCTGCCCAAGGTGCCCTGTCATCCGATTCCCGGTTCTGTTCCCAGGACCTCGGAACTGCAAGGAGTTGCTCACCAGGGGACACTCTCTGAGCGGCTGGTACACCATCTACCTGCCCAACTGCCGGCCCCTTACTGTGCTGTGTGACATGGACACGGACGGCGGTGGCTGGACCGTGAGTGTCAAGGTTTTGGGGAGTCTGTGGACCTCAGGCGGAGGTGGCTGTCCTGGGAACCTCACAGACCAGGTTGTACCTGGTGGGAGGACATGGGCTCCGTGGCCTTTGTCAAACGCCCACACCCCTCAGTCTCGGGCCGCCCTCCCCCCATTTCACCAAGGATGGGACAACCAGAAATGTTGGTGGGGGTGAACCCATGTTACAAGACATCCAGGCCATGGGCAAGGCCCTCAGCGAGCCCACTACTCCCCTGCTTGTGGCTTTGGGCTTGTCACCTGCCCTCTCTGAGCCTCCACTGCCGGCTTTGTCACATGTGGGCACCTGTCTGACCGCCTTGCGGTTTGTGACGAGGCCCACATGGCCGTGCTGTGGCGTTCGGCCGCGATGCTCTGTGAACTACAAAGCTGCTCCCACATGTGCCCCCGACCCGTGCCGGCCACTGCAGGCCTGTCTCCCCGGCCCTCTCTCTCCCCACAGGTGTTCCAGAGAAGGGTTGACGGCTCCGTGGACTTCTACCGGGACTGGGCCACGTATAAGCAGGGCTTTGGCAGCCAGCTGGGAGAGTTCTGGCTGGGGAATGACAACATCCACGCCCTGACCGCCCAGGGTAGGGCCAGTGCCAGGGGTTTGGTGCTCGTAGGGACCCTGACCTGAGACCCGGGCCACCTGGAACAGGAGACGCCCCTCCCCCTTCACCCTCCACAGGAGTTTTAGTCGGAGCCCAGGAGAATGTCACGACCCTGACAAGCTAGGACATGTGCTCTTTTAGACCGAATGTTAGAGTCAGAGGAAGTTGGATTATTGGGGTGAAGACCCCTTCCAGTCTCAGAACTAATTGTGTCTGAGGGTAGGAGATGACAATGAGGCCACCAGGACTTGAGTTAGTCCTTCTCCTAATTCCAGCTGTTGGTCTTTCCTTGAAATTGGGACCCTAGACCCTCCGTGTCTCCCCCAGGTCAGGACGTTTGGCAGTCCCCACACAGCCACACTCGCCCCAAGACAGGCAGGGCTTCCCACCAGTTCTCTGTGCCGTTGGATCAGTGTCATGGCTGGTTGTAAAGTTTAACTGAGACATTGTAGTCCCACTACCCTACGGCAGCCTTGATGGTATCTGCTTATGGTCCTCCAATTCTTGGAAAAGAAACTACAGTTTCTGGGGCTGTAGTTTGTGGCTGAACAGCCATTTGCAGGAGAATTTACATGTTCACAGTAGAATAATCCTTCGTTCCATCCAATGAACACCCGTGAAACGCCCATTGGCGTTTCAGGCTGGCATGTGGAAGAGTGGGGAGGACACTCAAGTGGAAGGGCCTCATATCAACACAAGATTTCGTCTGTGCCCAGTGGAGTTTTCCTGGATGCCAAGCTCAGACGCACCCTAAGAATTTACCCAGATGTCCCACCTCCCATGCCTGGAGGCAGAGGTTCCCTTCTGCTGGGACCTGAAAACCTTTTCTTAACAGGAACCAGCGAGCTCCGTGTAGACCTCATGGACTTTGAGGGCAATCGGCAATTTGCCAAGTTCACTTCGTTCAAGATGGCAAATGAGGCAGAGAAGTACAAGCTCGTCCTGGGAGCCTTTGTCGGGGGCAATGCTGGTGCGTGTCCATGCTGGGCAGTGGCCTGGCCTTCAGAGGGGGTTTGGGGAACAGCAAGAGCCCACTCAGTGTCCTGGCTCTGTCTCCCCTGGGCGACGCTGGGTGGTGACTTAACCTCACCAGTTTCTTCATCCATAGGTTAGGATGACATGCCTGCCCTAATTGTACCTGAGGATGATGTGACACATGCAGTAGAAAGTCCTAAAGGGGTGGTATTATTATTTACGACCATTATGGATGAAAAGTGGGGAAGGATAACCATTTAGCACTTTTCTGTGGGCCTCACTGCCCAGTCCATGGTGCCTGCAGCTCTCCCCCTGGAACGTAGGACTTCTTGGGCAGTGAGTGACCTCCCCGCTAAGTGACAGGATGCCTGTTAGCTGGCAGGGGCAGACCAGACAAGGGGATACTGAGGCCACCATATCAGCAGAGCCAGTGTGCACTGAGGTCACATGAGTGGCATCATGGGAATTGCGCAGTGCACAGCACGCACACCTGGACATCTCTGGCCTAGACCTAGGACCGAAGACCTCGTAGACTGTGTGTAAAATGCCCCACTGTTTCTTCTGAGCAGGTGATTCCCTGACGGCCCACAACAACCACCCTTTCTCCACCAAAGACCGAGACAATGGCATAGCTGCTTCCAACTGTGCCGTGCAGTACAAGGGAGCCTGGTGGTACAACAACTGTCACGTGTCCAACCTCAACGGTCGCTACCTTGGGGGGTCCCATGAGAGCTTTGCAAATGGCATCAACTGGAAGTCGGGGAAAGGGTACAACTACAGCTACAAGCTGTCGGAGATGAAGGTGCGGCCCACCTAGAACAGGTGGGCAGGTGGCCCAGAGCGTCAAGGACCAGGACCCGAGCCGCACCAGGAGGGGAACACGGCATCTGACTCACTGTCCTCACGTGGATGGAGAACTTCATTCTGCTCCCCGTTTTGGGCAGGGACCCCCCGCCTTGCCCCTCACCGACTCCAGCCCTTTTTTTCCCATCTGTCGGGATAAGGGTAACCGTCCCCCAGACCACGTCACCAGCGCACATTGTCAATAAAGATATCAGCTCCCGTATGGGCACACACGGGACGCCATGGTCACTTGTGCAGGTCACTGGCTGTGTGTCCATGTCTGTGTGTCTGTCCATGCCTCCCTGTGACTAGACGCCACAGGGAGCTTCTGATGGTCTCAGACAAGAGTCAGCCAACCAGGGCCCATGTGCCTGGGTGCCCATAGAGCCACCCGGTGGCCTCCCAGCCGTCTGGCTATCTGCTGTTCCTGGCAGCTGTCTGCTGCAGGCAGAGTAGAGCAGTGGACACAGAGACCCTATGACAGCAGGTCCTAAAATCTTTACTAGCCAGCCCTTAAGAAAGTGTTTGCTGGGCCAGCTGAGTGGCTCTGTTGGTTAAGAGCTTGCTTAAGAGTGCGAGCTCTGAGTAACAGGATCGCCAGTTTGGTTCCCACATGGGCCAGTGAGCTGCGCCCAAGCTGAGCTGCTGCTGAGCTGGTGAGAGCACATGCTCCTAACAACAAGGTTGCCTGTTCAAGATGTTGGGCTATGCCCGCCCGCCACTAAGGACTGAGCTCGGCACCTTGAGCTGAGCTGCCACCCAGGTGGCTCAGGGAATAGAGCGTGTGCTCTTAACAACAAGGCTGCTGGTTCAACTCCCACATGGGATGGTGGCTGCGCCCACCCGCAACTAGGATTGAACACGGCACCTTGAGCTGAGCGGCCGTGAGCAGCCAGATGGCGACTGGACTTGGAGCTGAGCTAGCTGCACCCTCCACAACTAAGATTGAAGGACCACAACTTGGCTGTTCCCCTTCCCCAATTCTCCAATTAAAAAAAAAAAAGAAAAGGTAAGCTTTAACTCAATTTAAAAAGAATTTAAAAATAGTAAATTAAAAGAAAACAAAAGAAAGCAAGTGTTTGCTGACCCCTAGCTCAGCAATGGATTGGTGTCCAGGCCCCAGCTGCTCGGGGCCCCGGCTCTCCCCACCACTCCACACTCCCATGTTCATGGGCGTTTCTGCAGGACATCTCCAGACACAATATAAAAGGGATTGAATGCCTGCAAACCCCTCACCACAAATAAAAGTAAAATGCAATACAGCAGTAAGTGCGGCTGCCCTGGGTGCCCAGGGGACCGGAAGGGCCATGCTTTGCTGTGAGTGTCCAGTGCAAAGCTGCCCCACAGCCGGGCTCGACGTGCAGGATGGAAAGACACCCCTCCCGCCAGGCAGGCTGCCCCTGAGATAAAAGTGGCATCAGCGTGGGGACTCGTGTCTGCCGAGGAGGGTACCCGGCCCTCTTCCCCGCAGAGGACACCTCCCCGCCGGCCTGGTCAGCCTGTCCTGACATGGGCCAGTACTTAGCCCTTGTGTGGCTGTTTGGGTCCCCTAGTCAGCTATTCAGGTTCACTAGACTGCCCTAGTCTTTTGGCTAATGAAGACAGACGAACCCGGGCCACCCCCCAGGGAGCGAGCAGAGAAAGTTGCTCTAGGCGGAGAAGGAGCTTTCGGCCGCTCTGGGGGAATGAAGTCTTGCCCAATAGCACTGGACAAGCAGTCCCTGTCGTTTCCCCACGGCCTTTCCGGCTGGGTGGGCTTCCACATGTGGGATGTTGACAGAAGCGGTGCAGACCCCTTGCCGGACTGGCCCCAGCACCTCTGTGCAGTCTCCCAGGGGAGAGACCCCAGGCGCTGGGCCCACCCATGGGCACTGCTGCGCAGTGCCACGCTGCGTACTGAGGTTGCTGTGACACAGCTGCCAATGCCCACGCCATCTAGTGCAGAAGCTGTTGTCCAAAGAACAGTCCTGGGCAGCGAGTCTCACATCAGTGAGCCTGGCCTGGCGGCTAGAGGGTGCGTACAGGGCCAAGGACTTTTGTCAGGGCAAGTGTTACCTGCAACAGCTTGAAGGCTGGTTCGTGAGGCATCCTTTGGGAAGCAGGACTTCGGTGGTGCGGGTTTATCTGCCTGGGCGGCTGTCTGACCGGGAGTTACAAGGCACAGAAGGGCTTAGGGGGCGGACTGAGTCCCATGCAGGCGGGACGCAATGGAGTGAAGCGTGTAGCATCATGAGTCTGGCCGAGTAAGAACGATCCTGAACCGTTCTAGGCCCCAGACAGGAGGAGGTAGAGGCTTTCAAAGCGCTGGTGTAACAAAGGCCCGAAGCAGTGGTGGCCCAGAGCGACCCACCTTGTGAGTAGCCGTCCTTTCTGCCCAAGCTGCAGAGCTGGAAGCCAGCCGCCCTACAGGAGAGACGGCGGGCGTGGAGGGAAAGCGGGGCGGCATTGGACGAGAGGAGCATTTTGGGGAGAGGAGAGAGGCGCCAGGCCACAAAAGGGCTGGTTTTCAAGCCCCTGCGGCATGGACCCGCCCTCCCAGGCCCTGTCTCGGGCCACGACCTGGGCAGGAACACGTTTGTGTTGTGCTAAGGCCCTGAGACGTGAAGGTTTTGTTGTGACACCTGGTTTTCTAAAGGTCACTTACTTTTACAAAGAGGTGACCTCGGTCGGAGCCGGGGTGCAGATAGGGGAGAGGAAATCTGCGTCCTCATGCTAGTCCTAAAACCCGCTCTGGGCTTTGAGCCAGCTTTGCCGCCTGTCAATTTCTTCAGCCACATTCGAGCTACTTAATTTGGCCGTCATTGTCACCGTGACTAATCAGCCATATGGGTAGGGGGTGGCCAATTATCTGATTCCTGGAACATCACAGGAGGCTGGAAGCCCCACCGCCCACCCCAATATGTGGCAGAAGTCCCAGCCAGGACGCCATGGGAGCCAGGAACCATCTGGAAATTTCCATCTGTGCCAAAGTAGCAAATACGGCCCTGACAGAGTCCTGCACTGTCCGTGATGAGAGGGGTGTCTGCAAGATCACGGCCCCTGCAGCTCTAGCGGTCCCGTGCAGCCTTTTCTGAAAAGCTTGCAAACATGAGATGCTCACCTCACCGCCATCGAGGACATCCATGCGGGGTGGCCTGGGGCAGTTGACAGTGACATCAGAAGCTTCCACAGAGCTCATCTGTGGAAGGCGCCACGCGAATCGTTCAGCAGGAAGTCCAAAGCTACTTACCCATATGCACAGAAGAGCCTCTACTGGGCTGGTGGCCAAGACACAGGAGTCAAGGACAGGATGCATATTCAGAAAACAAAACAAAACAAAGACCCTGACCGCCAAGTGTGTGACGGGCTAGCAGTGCCCTGACCTCAGCCACTCCATAACTCGGGGGCCTCTAAGTCTGAGCAGCCCGGGTGTAGCCTGGTTGCCTCAGCTGATAAGGGGTCTGGCTCCGCAGCCCCGTGTCTCAGGGCCATGCGAGCAGGCATTCTAACCGTATTTGTGATAATGTGCTTGGCTGTCTCTTCCCTGCCAGCACCACTGTCATCTGTCACGAGTGTGGCTCTGATGGGCCAGAGAGTCCAGGTCTTTCATTTGCTTGCCCTGAAATGAGCAAACGGCACGCTTACCTCTCTGAAACCAGCCCCTCAGTGGTCCCTAAACCTGACCGTCCATCAGAACCATCTGCGGAGGCCCTTAAAATGGCACATTCAAGGGGCCCACCCCCGACCCATGAGACCCAAATCTCAGCAGGCACTACCTGGAACCCGTACTTGGTGAAGGCTTGCTGCTGATTCTAAAGATGAGCCGTGGTAGAAAACTTTGTGACGGCACATCAACTGGACAGAGATGACGGCCAAGCCTGTTCCTCTCCCTACCCCCCATGTCCAGGCTTCTCTGGGCCACACGTCCCCAGTTCTGCCAGCCCTTCCTCAAGCACAAGGCAGCAGGGATCCAAAGGAAAAGTAAATTCAAGGACTAACAAAATGCTGAAGCAGAACCAAGTTAATTACAGTGGCTATTGTCATGCCTTAAATAAATTGCTGTTTGGTGATTTGGTGTTAGGATTGTCATCTTTCCCATACAGTGTCACTCACCTGGAGAAAAAGTTCACACCCTTTGAACCAGCAAGCTCACAAGGGAACTTATTTCTAGACGAAATTCCACACACCAGGAAAAGCTTTACATAAATGTGTTCATTGCAAAGTCATGGGCACGAAGCATGATGAAAGTATGACTATTCAACAACAGGAGGATGGCCATTCCCTCAAGGGAGCGTTTTAAAGGTGCTAAATGTGCGAGCTCTGGGGACGCGGAAAAACACGTAAAACTAGGAGAGAGAGCTGGACGCACGGACTTCCACTTCCAGTGTCGATGGGCCAGATAACCAGGACCAAGCTTCCCTTTGCAAACAAATAAAAAGCTGAACACAGGTCAGAAATACTCTTTGTAAACCTTAAAGGACCATCAGACCAGTGAGGAATTACCAGAATAAGATCTAGCAGACGTAGAAACCGAGAGAAGGGTCTCTGTGCCCGGGGTCGTGCTCCAATCAGAAGATGGGTTTAGGGGCTGTGTCGGAGTGTGACGGCGAAGGGCTTAGCAGGGTGAAGGGCTAGATGAGCAAACTGGGCTGCAGATCAATAAACAATATCCAGATTGAACATGGAGAGGAAAAAAAGAATAAAAATATAGAAAACTAGCATGAGAGACATGGGACGTGGTTAAAAAAAAAAGTGCTTTTATGTGTAATTGGAATATTTGAAAGAAAAGCGAGAAGGGCCAGATGCAAAGAAAGCCTTACCAAGGAACATCGTAGAAGACGTCTAAAGGCTGAAAGGAAATCTCATAGTCAGTCAGAGAAAAGCTCTGCTCTCTTCAGCAAGCAAGGACAAGACTTTGGGCAGAAATCCTGGAATCTAGAAATACTGGATGGACCTGTTTAAGGGCTGAAAGAAAAACACCTGCCAACCTAGCATTTTATACCCAATGAAAATACTCTTTGGGAGCGAGGCCAAATAAAGATGTTTTCAGAAAGCAAAAATGGGCAGAATTTACCACCTGCAGAGGCTTTCACTACATGGATAAAGTGAATGTGTGACAGTGACACAGGGGCAGGAGGGAGTAAAGGAGCTGAAAGGGCGGCAAGGAACGCTCTTTGCTGGTGACGTGCTGGAAGGAATCGTTCATCTTAGGCTGTGGATGTCATGGATGTTTGCCATCTCAGGCATAGAAACCAAAACAATAGGAAATGAATGTACACATTGTAAGTCAATGGAGGGGTAATAAAATATCCAAGAAATCAAAGGTGAACGGAAGCCATGCTGGGTGCCTTGTCACAGCCCCTTATGGGCACACTCCCACTGAGGACAGACTGCCCTGGCAGGACGGAGGCTGACCGAGATGAAAAAGACCTGAGCTAGTCACCTGTTTTATTTCCTACCCCAAACGCCAGTGGGTAGCCGTTCTAACGGTCACCGGGTTTTGCCGATTTGGCTTTGGGGAGGCATTTGTGTTTAGAAAAGACCCTTCCTAGGTGTACTTTGCTTTTTAAAATTCGTGCCTGGCTTCTGAAAGCTACAGGTTCCAAAGCTCAACTTTTCTTAATCTGTTCAGTGTGGCTCATAATTCTTGGTTTTCTATTCATAAGACCTACAAATCTTAACAGTGAGCTTTTGAGGACCTTTGAAGACTGTACACTTCATTCATTAAGTACCCTCGACACTTTAAATTGCAATAATAAGTGGAATATATTCAAATTCCTTCTTAGGAATTTCAATTGCCTCCTGCACAAAATCTTCTCGGTACTAATACATTTTTAGAAATCTGGTCATTTCTCTTGGAGGTGCAATGGGCCCAGTCAGCCACATACTCCAATACTGGGCGTAAGTGCACAGGTCGTCCAGATAACAGGACAAGACCAAGTCCATTACAGAGTTACGATGCGATTTGTGGGGCTTTCCTTACAATAGGCCAGTTTCCTTAAACATTATCAGAGTACGAAATATTAAGCCTGTTCCAGGTTCTCTACCGCAGAAGTCATAACTCTATGACTTTTATTCTATGAACCATTTCTAGACTTACTTCCTGGGTTTATAAGATACTTATCTCCTAAGGAAGAAAAGGACCGTCCCAGTCAACAGGCTTGCCCTCCGACCTGAGGCTGCGGCCAGGACCTGGGGGATCATCTGCCCCAGGTGGTCTGCAGGGAGGTCTCCTCACAGTTACTAAGTCAGTGACCCTGGAGGTCAGGGCGAGATGCTCATATAACCCACGTCCCTGGACCCACTGTCTTTACAAATCGTTTTAACTCGTGAATGTAGCACGTACACAAAAGTGTACAAATGAAAAGTGCCGCATAAGGAGCTTTCATCGCCGTGCAGCCACTACACGTGTGATCACCACCCGGGAAGAGAAACAGCACGCTGCCAGCACCCTGAAAGCCTGGCTGTGTCCCTTCCCTGTCACCATCCCGTCTGCCCCCAAATGCAGCCACTTTCCTCTTTTCCTTGTATATATATTTACAAGTACTAAATACTACCGGCCGTTTTTACTTTTGAAAACCACTCTGTATGAAGTGAGGTCAGGTGGGCACACACCCTTGAACCTGGCGTCCTTTGTGCGCCCGCCCTGCGTGTGGTGGCTGCGCGTCATTTGTGTTGCCTTGTGGAGTGCCATGGCCTGGGGATCCCTACATTCCCCCCTGCCTCTTCCTGACGGCCTTTGGGTGGATGCCAGGGTGTGGCTACCGTGGGTCCTCCGGCTGCCGATATTCCAGGCCACGCCCCCTGCACACATGACAGGAAGTGGCCCTGCCAGGCTATGGGATGCCTCCTCCCCTACTAGTAAGTCCCAAACTATTTTCCAAGTTGGAAGCACCGATTCATGTTGCCGCCAGCAGTACATGGGACCCTGGCCGGACAGTGTCACCGACACCTGGTGTTACCAGTCATCCTAAAGTTCGCCGTTCAGGTGAGTGTGTCGTAGTATCTCATTTTGGTTATAATTTGCATTTATCTGAGAACTAACAAAATAGAGAAACTTTTTATAAATATGTTGGTCCTGTGGATATCATCTTTTGTGAAGGGTCTATAAAAATTCCTTACCTACTTTTTACTGAGCTGTTATAATTTTTTTAATTGATCTGTTGGAGCTCTTTAAATATTCTGGATATGAGACTGTACTTTAAAAAAAAATAGATTGTGGTAGGCAGAATAATATTCTGCCAAAGATTTCCTGTCCTGATCCCCAGAACTGGTGACTATGTCACCTGACGTGGCAGATGTGATTAAATAGAGGATCTTGAGATGGGAGACCCCTGGATTCTCAGGTGCCCAACCTAATCCATCAGCCCTTCCAAGCAGACAGTCTTTCCTGGCTCTACTCAGAGGGAGAAGTGACCATGGCAGCAGGGTCACGGCTGATGTCACCGGCTTTGAAGTGACAGGAAGGGACCACGAGGCAAGGAATGTCCATGGCCTCTGGGAGCTGGAAAAGACAAGAGCACAGATGGTCCCCAAGAGCCTCAAGGAGCCAGCCCTGCTGAGAACTTGCTTCTAGCACACTGATACCCACATTGGGCTTCCAGCTTTTTAATGACACGTTTCGGTTTTTTTAAGCCTCTAAATTTGTGGTCACAAGTTGTGGCAGCAGCAGGAAACTAATGCATGCCTGTTTGCTAAGCGACTCGGTCCCTCTGTGGCCTTCCTTTCATTCTCTCAGGTCCTTCGATACACAGAGGGCCTTGTCTTTATGGTGGCCGAACGTGGGGCCTCTGAAGTCCTGGTAAAGTGATGTCCCCTGGGCCCGAGAGGCTGAGACCTGCCCCTGTCACCCCTTGTGAGGCTGTGTTGTGTGAGGTTGGCCTGATGCTGTATTTTGGGTGTGGACGGCCAGCTGAGCCCACATCGCTGAGCGCACAGCTGCACCTTCCTCACGGATTGGTGTTGGCCCTTTCAGCTGCTCTAGGGGACACATGGCCCAAAGCATCCGCCCTGCCCTAACTGGCAGCAAAAATGTCCCTGTTTCCCTTTTCCCCTTTTGTATGAGCGTTTTCTAGGTTCACAGTGACCTTTTTAAAGCTTTGTGAAGATGCTGTGAGTCAGGAGGGAAGCAGGAGGTGGAGGTGAGGGAGGGCATCGATGACGGGAGCTCCAGGCTGGGGCCGCTCGTCTGTGGAAAGCCACCTCCCCCCCGGGACGCCAGTGACTTTATCTGCTCCTTGGGCCCCTGACTTAGCAAGTGAAGAAGCACGTGCTGTAGAGTGGCTATGGACAAGTGCGCGAAACGACTGGTGTTCAAGACGCGCAAATTAAAACCGGGAAAAAAGCCCCATGAACCTTGTCTGTTGGAAAGCAAACAATTTTATAAGCAGAATTCTTCTTTCTGTGGGGCACGTGCATGTGTTGGGACACCCTGATGGGACAGAAGGGGCTCTGACTTCGGGTTTTTCAGAGCGGGAGGCAGAGGGGCAGTGGGGTGCCGCCAGCGCTGTCCTAGGCTGGGCATTCAGAGCGAAGCTTCCTGGCGCTGCCGTGCAGGTGGGTGCGAAGCAGCCGGGACAGGTGGCCGGCCGGCCCGCCCGCCCGTTCTAGGTGGGCCGCACCTTCATCTCCGACACCTTGTAGCTGTAGTTGTATTCTTTCCCCGACTTCCAGTTGATGCCACCCCGGTAGCCGTCCTGGGACCCCGTGAGGTAGGGGCCATTCAGGTTGGACGCGAGACAATTGCCGTACCACCAGGCTCCCCTGTAGAGCTCGGCACAGCTGTGAGAACTCTGGTCGTGGTCCCGGTCTTTGGTGGAGAAGAACTTGTTTCTGTGGGTCGTCAGGGAATCACCTGCTCAAGACAAAACGCGGAACAGTTGGTGCCAGAAAAGGCCCTGCCGTCAGGAGGCCCCGCCAGCTGGGCCTGCCTCTGCTTCCTCTCAGTGCTCCGCACGCTGGCAATGCATCAGCTCAGCTCGAAGGCTGGAGCGCCTGCCTAGGCCGTGGGGTCCTCGGGAGCAGAAGGCACCCACCTGACCCGCCTCCGGGCCCTGGAACTCTTCCCCACAGCACAGGTGTCGGCTGTTTCCCCCAGGTGTCGGCTGTTTCCCTCAGGTGTCGGCTGTTTCCTCCCAGCACCCGACACTGTCAGGACCGTTCTGGTCTCTCCCCTGGATGCCCCGCCCCCTTGCCTGCACTTCTCCTCTGGGCTCCATCTCCCTCCCCAGGCTGTCCGGGTCCCCCCTAGTAGGGACCGCACACGCCTCATCAGGGGGCCCCTGCTCCGTCTTCACCCCTGGGCGTGAGGCTGACTCTGGCTCCTAGAGCCCCCCTGAGCCTCAGTGTTACCGCCTGCAAAGCCAGAACGATGGGCCCTGACCCTGGTCCTTCCTTGGCAGGCTCAAGCGAGGTCGTGCATGTCAAACTTGAGGCTGATATTATCAAGGTCCCCCGGGAGTGCCGTGCTGTCTGCAGCTCTGGCTTCAGCATAGTTAGGCTCCTGCTGCAGAGGTCGTCGGAGCCCTTCACGACGACTGCGCACTGGGGATCCCAAGAGGGGCGCTCTGTAGGAAATGCCTGCCCACGTCACATGACCATTCTTTTGGGAAAGAGTCTCCCACAGGGCTTGTGTTCTGTAGAACACAGTTTGGGAACAGGACTCTAAGGTCTCTTCCAGCTCTCAGCAGGACGAGGGTCAGGAACCTCGGGCTCCATCACACAGCTCACGGTTGTGCAGTCACAGCCTTGGGGGTGCTCCCTGATGATGTCGCTGGCCCCATGCTACAGAGACCTGGGTGTTACTATCTGCATTTACAGAGGCAGAGACCGGGGCCCAGAGGGGGGCGGACCCCCCAGCCCAGGGGGACAGAGCCAGCACACTGAGTGGGCTCTTGCTGCCCCCCAAACCCCCTCTGAAGGCCAGGCCACTGCCCAGCGTTGACACGCACCAGCATTGCCCCCGACAAAGGCTCCCAGGACGAGCTTGTACTTCTCTGCCTCGCCCGCCATCTTGAACGAAGTGAACTTGGCAAATTGCCGATTGCCCTCAAAGTCCACGAGGTCTACACGGAGCTGGCTGTTTCCTGTTGGGGAAAGGTTTTAAGGTCTCAGCAAAAGAGACCCTCTGCCGCCAGGATTTGGGTAAGTTTTTAGGGACTATCTGGACTTGGCATCCAAGGAGAAGTCCCCTCAAGCTCATACATAAAGTCCTTGGCCACTGAGGGGCTGTGGAAACCTACTGCCCAGGAGTCCTTCTGCCAAACCCGGAAGTCCCCTCCTCAGAGTCGCTGGTGGCACACACGTCACCGTACTCCCAAACCTGCATTTTTCTGGAGTGGGGTGTGCAGCGCCTCACAGCCCAGCATGGGGAAATGCTTCCAGCTTTCCTTCATCTGGGAGCGATGTCTTAGGACATGCTCATGGGGTACTGGAGCAAGAAGGGGACGGGCAGCTCTGCAGCGTCCCAAGGAGCAGCATGGTGCTGACGCTCTGGCAGGAGGACCAGAGGGGAAAGGTGCTGCCCTCACTCCAGATCCGTGTGGACTGGCCCGCCTGGGGGCTGGCAGGATGGGAGACAGGGGTCTCTCCCCCTGAGCTGGCCATTTCAGGGAAGAGCAATAGTGTAGGGTGGGTTGCGGGCTGGGTGTTGGACCTTACTGTGATGGCCGTGGTGTCCCTCCAATTTCGGTTCTAAGGTGCCAGTGACTCATGATTGGATGGGGTCTTCACCTCAAAGTTCTGACATTTTCTGAGCCTAACGTTCTGGGAGTCGAAGGCAGGGCCGCACGTCCTGGGGGCCCGGACGTTCTCCTGGGCTCAGACTAACCCTGCTGTGGAGGGTGAAGGGGGAGGGGCGTCTCCTGTTCCAGGTGGCCCGGGTCTCAGGTCAGGGTCCCTACGAGCACCAAACCCCTGGCACTGGCCCTACCCTGGGCGGTCAGGGCGTGGATGTTGTCATTCCCCAGCCAGAACTCTCCCAGCTGGCTGCCAAAGCCCTGCTTATACGTGGCCCAGTCCCGGTAGAAGTCCACGGAGCCGTCAACCCTTCTCTGGAACACCTGTGGGGAGCGACAGGGCCGGAGACACGGGCCTGCAGTGGCCGGCATGGGTCGGGGGCACATGTGGGAGCAGCTTTGTAGTTCACAGAGCATCGCGGCCGAGCGCCACAGCACGGCCATGTGGGCCTCGTCACAAACCCCAAGGCGGTCAGACAGGTGCCCACATGTGACAAAGCCGGCATTCGAGGCTGAGAGAGGGCAGGTGACAAGCCCAAAACCACAAGCAGGGGAGTAGTGGACTCGCTGAGGGCCTTGCCCATGGCCTGGATGTCTTGTAACATGGGTTCACCCCCACTAACATTTCTGGTTGTCCCGTCCTTGGTGAAATGGGGGGAGGGCGGCCCGAGACTGAGGGGTATGGGCGTTTGACAAAGGCCACGGAGCCCATGTCCTCCCACCAGGTACAACCTGGTCTGTGAGATTCCCAGCACAGCCACCTCCGCCTTAGGGCCACAGACTCCCCAAAACCTTGACACTCACGGTCCAGCCCCCACCGTCCGTGTCCATGTCACACAGCACAGTAAGGGGTTGGCAGTCGGGCAGGTAGATGGTGTACCAGCCGCTCAGAGAGTGTCCCCTGGTGAGCAGCTCCTTGCAGTTCCGAGGTCCTGGGAACAGAACCGGGAATTGGATGACAGGGCACCTTGGGCAGGGCAGAGGCTGGGGGGTGAGGACGGTGGAGCGGGGACAACAGGTGCGGGTATGGGCAGGGGAGGACTTCGAAGCCTGGGACAGAGCACCCCAACCCAGGGCCACCAAGCTGTGATGGCCACGCACAGTCTGCTGCCATCGCCACCTCCCAGGGCTGCCCCCGCCTTGGTCCCCAGGCCCTGGGCCGCTGGGGTACACGCTAACATTTTCAGGGCATGAGACCAGGAATGTCATTCTGGTCCTTCTGAAGGCAGCTGACAGGTGTCCGGGCTGAGTGCTGGCCTCGGTAATTGGCTAACGGACAGGAAGGGACAGACAGAGCCCCTGGGTCGGCCGGACACACCGGGGCCCGTCACCCACCTGTGTGACATTGATCAGGCTCCCAAGGTTCTCCTGCAGATGCGGACAGACAGGAAAACACGCATTTAAGGCGTGACTCGTATGTTCTTGTCCCCAAACGCTGAGCAGAAGGTAGAGGCACTTTCTAGATCTTTCCAACATGGTGGTGGTTACGACAGCCCAGTAAAGCCACCCTGCCCTGGCTACCCGGGGGGCCGTGACCCTTCCTGTGCTCCTGGGAGAAACCGAGTCACTGGGTTTCTATTAACTGGCCACCTCTTTCAGCTGCCCTGTGCCAAAGAGAGGGGGCCTCCTTTGCGGGGTCTCCCTAAGCCTCCCTCGTCTCCAGAACCGCCTGCCTAGTTGGTGGCCATGGGATGGGGGGCTGCCATGTGGGGATTTTATCCATTTAGACACAATGTCTGGTGGGACCTAGGCTTCTGGAATGGGACCCTCCTCAGGGTAAAGTGGGGGGCGGTCCAGGGGTTGTATTTCCCGGAGCATGCTTCTCTGAGATTTTGGAATATTTTGCAAGAAAATATATCAGAGCGTATTTTATATTTGATAAACTGTATGCATGAGCATATGTAACACATAAATGTGTAATACTGCTTTACATAGTTACGATATACGTTGATATATTTAAAGGCCTATATTCTACATTTACACATCTCCTCGGACCAGAGCTTGTTGTTAATAGTCCCGGCCACTTCCGGCCGGCTTTGCATTTTTAAACTTTGCCCTAATTTACTGCAGCCCCGGGGACAGAATCGAGGAGAGCACAGGACAGGGCTCCCTGCTCAGGGTTCCGGGGCCAGGACAGGAGGGGGGGGACTGGGACAGGCTTGGACAGGTGTGTGGACCCCCACCCCACACCCCCTCCAGAAACCTCTCCCATAGGAAGGGGCTGGTGTCCACCCCAGGCCCATGCTCCACACACTGGGAACCCTTTCTGTTCAGTGTCGGCCGAGTCACCCCCTCGGGATGGCGGGACGGGCTTACCTTTCTCTCCACGTGAGCCCTTCTCCCCTGGGTCTCCTATGGAGAGAGAAGGGTCAGCGCCGCCCGTGTGGGGAGATGACACAGCTCAAGCCCGACGCCTGCTCATCCAGAGGAGGGCTTGTCTTGTCCCCAAAGCCCTCCCACGGCTGGAGTGAGGTCGGGGCAGGAAAACAGCTGATGAGGCGGACACACCCCCACCGTTCTTTCAGGGCCAGGAGTCTGTGCTGGGCTGTGGTCAGGGTCCTGCCCCGAGTCCCCAGGGGCTCTGACATGGACGCAGCCCCTGGCTGAGCCGAGTGTCCCGTGTGGGGCAGGGTGTGGTTCCCTAGAAATGACACATGTGACAGCCCAGAAGTGCCCTCTCTTGCTCTCTGTTGCCAGGCCTGGGGGTCTCCACTCTTCATCAGGGTGTTACCTTTGGGTCCGGAGGGTCCTGCCTTCCCAGGGACTCCGGAGGGGCCTTGTTCTCCTGCAAATTCCAACACACATCACTGAGCCCAGCTCCCAGACCGGGACCCGAAATCCCACGCTGGGAATCGCTGCTCCTGGTTATCCTTGTGGCCGTGGCGGCCCCAGGTTGGACCCTCTGGAACTAGAGGGTGGGTACCTGAACCCCAGGCCTCACAGGGCTCCCCTGTCCAGTCAGAGGCCAGGACCTGGAGACCAGGAGCTCCTCCTAGAGAACTGGGGGTCCGAGTCCCAGCTTCGCCCCACACCAAGGGAACCTGTGGAGTTTTCCTAATTTCCATGGCTGCAGTGTCCCCATCGGAAGTCCGTACCTGCAAGCTTTCAGCCCCAGAGCTCAGGTGACACTACAGAGGGACATAGAATTAGTCCTGCCGTGCCCACATAGAGCAGGGGTGGGTCAACACTAGAAACCACGTATTCTGTCCACACACACAGAGCGCATTAGGTGATTGGATTGAGAACCAGGAAGCAGATACTCTATGAAAATAGGCCCAAACGTGAGCTCATAAAACACTGCAGAGACTGGCTCCCTCCTAAGGCAGTTTCAGGCCCCAGGGTGGACGCTGGCTCTGAGCAGGGCAAGACCCAAGCTCCCCACCTGAGGCCCACAGGGCCACCGCCCAACTCTAATGGGGCTGACAGGGCAAGGGCTCAGGCCCGCCCTCCCCCGCACGTACCTCTCCCTCCTGCGACGCCCACCTCTCCTTTGGGTCCTGCGGCCCCGGGCAGCCCCGGGCAGCCCCGGAGAATGGAGAGCTTGTCGGAGCCCTCCAGGCCCAGCACCGTCACCTCTGCAGAGAGACAAAGCGCCAGTCGGTGTGCTGGCCTGAGGCCTGCAGAGCCGGTGACAGGCCGCCGAGGTGACCTCAGGCCTGGGCAGATGGCTGTGGCCGGATGGAGGGTCAGCCTGGAAATGAGGTTTTCCTGCCGCTGGTGGACACCGGGCGGTGGGGCGTGAGTGACACAGGCAGAGCCCTGGCCTTGGAGTCCCCCCTGCCCGAAGGAAATCCAGCTCCTCAGTGCTGTGTGTCCTCAGGCAAGTCACTCAGCCCCTCTGCGCTCTGTCCCCTGGGCTGCCAGTGGGGACAGGAATGAGGCTGTGGGAGGATTAGACTGGATGACGCACCTTTTTCAGATCTTAGTATAAATCGTGGCATAGGAAGAACTTCATAAACGTGGGTACTGTCAGTAAATAATGACAATAAATATTTATAAGACACTTGGGGAATTTGGGTCACTGTAGCGTTGTCACCCCCATTCCTTGGGCACGTGACCATGGACTTCCTGAGCTGGAAGGGGTCCGTGTAGATCCCTGGAGAGGGGACGCTTTTGATCCAAGGACACAGAGCAAACTCTGTCTGGCAGAACCGGGACCAGAGATTCGCTGACTTCTCAGAGTGTCAGTGTGTGACTACAAAACCCAAACTCCCTCCAAAGAGAGAGCTTAGTGAACCCGAAACCCGCAGTGCCTTCATGGGGGGCCCGGGCCACCGCCGTCTGTCCTTACCCAGTCCTCACTGGTCAGAACCAATGTAGACTTCACTTTCACATTTCCTTAATTTTTGTTCATTAGAAAAGAATATTTGGTACATTTAGACATTTAGAAATAAGACATTTAGAGAAGAAAATTATCACCCACGATATTACCAGTGAAGCGGCCCCCGTGTGCGTCCTTCCTGACGCTTTCCGGCCTTTCTCCACAGTAACATGGCGGAAGTGGTTCCTTCCGGTCAGCCCCACCTGAACCAGGCCGGTGACAGCAGGTCACCGCAGGACCCTCGGGGCAGCTCCTGGTCCTGGGTCGCAGCATCTCCTCAGGGAGTTTGAGAAACACCAGAACCAGGACTCCCCGGGTGGGAGGGGTGGAGTCAGCTGTGAGAGCCAACGGGCAAGGGATGGAGGTCTGGGGCCGTGCGGACAATGTCACCCTTGCTCTTTCACCTCAGGGACACAATGGGATCTGCCTGTCCCCAGAGTCTGGAAGGTCACACACTGAAAGTCCCACAGCACTGGGTGCAAGCTCTTGGGCCGTTTCTTAGTGCTGGTGATAATGACACAAAATCTGACCCTGGGGACACCCTCCACGGGCTCTGCCTTCTCACGCAGCCTGTGCCGTGGGGCTCTGACGCTCGTCCCTCCACGGAGGACCTGAGGAGGGCCCCCTGCAGACGGTGCTGAAAACACGCTGTCTCAAGAATAAGGAAAGAATGTTCCAGAAGGCCTTGGCACGGGCCTGGTACACAGGAGGTCATCAGTGAGTGGAAGCTGTCAGCTCTCAAACGTGACCGTTTTCAGGTCCTACTCACCTGGCCTCTGACTCACCTGGGCAGGTGTCAGGAGCCGAGGCTGAAGCGCACAGGAAGACGACGGCCAGGACGACGGGCCCCAGGGCCACGGCTGCTCTGCTCAGCTCCATCACGCTGGTCCTGGCTGCGGAGGAGCTTCCTGTCTTATAGGGCTGCATCCGCCCCGACCTCTGGCTCTACTTGTCACCCCGTGGGCGCTAACAGGATGTGGAGGTGGCCACTTTCTCCTCCAAGCTGGTGGCGTCAGCTAAAGGTGGAGACGCCTCTGAGGACTGCCTTCCACACCCCACACCCTCCTTAATGAGCAGCCTAGTTAATGAGCTTCCTCTGTAACGAGCCCCACTTCCCCTTAGCTGGGACACTTTCTTCCCAGCAAGACGCTGCCCCAAGGCCCAGTGCGGGGAAGGGCCGCCTGCCTGTTTGTGTCTTTGGAGAAGCCCAAGCCATTCCCTTCTTAATCCCGCTCAGTCCACCACCCCTGAGGCCTTCCCAGGATGGCAGGGTAGGCAGGACCCCACTGAGGTCATTTTCATACAATAGGTTCAAATCTATACAGTTAGAGACTTCCCTTGGGGGCCTAGGGCGCTTAGAGCGGAGGGAGAGGAGGAGAGATTTCTGGGGGTGGGGGTGGGCATGGCTTCTGATTGCAGTGGATGTGACATGGGGGAGGCCAGCGAGGGGTTGGCACCCTGGGACACGGACGAGCGCCAGTCCAGCCAGTACCGCAGTGATGCCGGACTGTGAGCTAGACTGTGGCAGCTTCGGGCTGGGTAGGGACGTGGTGGGGGTGGCACTAAATTGCCCTTGAGATCATTTGACACCTGCCCCAGCCAGGGACAGACCAGGTGGACCTGGTGGACCAGGCGTCTCAATGCCATTTCCACACCCCCAGAGAGTTGCTAAATTCTGAAGGGAGCTCTCACCTGGGGTTGTGTCCAGTTAGAGACGGAGGTGGCAGGTCTGTGCCCCACAACCCTGCCCACCAACAGCCCCCATCCAGATGTGACATTAGAATCCTGACCCCACGTCACACGAAACCACTCTAGGATCAAGGTTCCATTTGTTCCCTTTCAGTGTCCCTGGGGCCCGTGGGCCTGAGAATGGGACCTTTCCATCGTAGGGAGGACAAGAAATGGCCCCTGTGTCCACCAAGTTCTTAGCAGAGTCCTGTCACGTGAGATTAACAGGAGGGAAACAATGAACTCATCAACAGGCTTACCTCGTGCACAGATGGGGTGGCTCTGGGGAAATGAGGAACCCAGAGGTGGCTTAGGTCCGGGGCTGAAACGCTCCCAGTAGGGGAGGGAGGCGAGGAAGCGGCGGTAGGGAAGGTGACTGGGCCTTGGAGAGGGTTGTGACAGCCTGCCTGGCTGCCTGCCTGCCTGCCTGCGGTGTGGACTTCCTTCTCCTGAGCTGAGCCTCCCACCGAGTGTAGACAGCTCGGGACACTGAAATTGCAGTGCTGATATTTCAGCATAAAGGAATCTGTCAATTTGGAATTTTGAGTGTTGGCTGTATATGAGCATTTGGTCCTGTTAGAGTGACAACCCGACAAGCCCGCCGAAAACGTGGACCTGAGTAACGGAACAAGCTAGTGATATATGCGGAGGTTTTGCCATGCTTACAGTTTTGGAGCAGTTAAGAGACCCCTAAGTTCATCCCATGTTTATGTCATCAGATTTCCGAAAATTAGCTTATCCTCGGAAGGTTTCGTGGAAAGGTAGGCAACTGAAGCGCACAAATTTGAGTATATTCATCTTTCAAATGCAATTAAAATGCTTAAAGCTGCTAAATTAACTAAGTCACTGAATGGAACAAGAATTATTCATAGGTTCCTTGAAGGAAGTTATTAAAATTTTCCTGTTATACATAAAGTTTACAAGTCAAACTTAAAAGCTTAAGGAATCGTTGGACTTTTGAAGCTATAAGTTTAGTAAGCTGAACAAATGACATTTCAATTAATTTTAAAAGGTGGTGACACACTGAGTGATCTTCTCTGAGCAGGAAAGGACACAGTAATGAAACCGAGGAGGAACAAGCCTGTGTGGCCAGGATGGGGCACAGCTCAGCTGCTGCGCCTTTGAGAGAACCGCTTGTTACGGGTGGGGAAACTGAGGCCCAGAGAAGGGAAGCGGCTGCCTGGGGCCACACAGCCTGGGCCGGGCATGCTGAGCTCCCCACAGGTCCCTCCCCCAGGGTGAGGGGTGCAGAAGCCGGAGCTCAACCTCTGGCCAGTGTCCCCTTCACTCACAACCTGCATCTGTAACGGGCCCTGCACAGGAAGTAGACATTGGCAAGGGTCCCCCTGGAGCCAAAAGGCCACCCACATGGTAAACGAAGGGTTGATTCACGGACGGTGATGAAAAATTGAAGTCCTATCATTGGCCGCCTTGCTCTTGGGGGCTGTCCCAGCTTCTGAAGTTCAGAATTCTGTTTCTGCCGGTGTTCCAGGAGTGTCCCCGGGCCCAGTGCATGGCGACCGGGCTTCACAAGCAAGACAGGGAGGGACGTTTGATGAGTACCTGCTTCGTGCCAGGGGCTGGTCTGTGCTCTGGGGCACTGTGGGAGACAAAGCAGACAGGTCCCTGTCCTCCTGGAACCTGTGCTATTGGGGGAAGACAGAAAATAAAGAAATAGTCAAACATGTACAGAACAATGATGTGATCTGCTCACTGAGAAAGCAGCGTGCCCTCCAAAGGAAATACAGAGTGTATTGTCAACGGCTCATCAGACGGCAAGACGCAAAACTAGAACTGGGTGACTTCACACGCTATCGTTCTGGCAGGCGAATGTGGGTGCTCCTGGCCAGCACCTCTCCTCCGAGCTGCAGCCCCAGGACACACACCTCCTCCAGCCTGTGTCCGTCACCTTCCATACGTGACCCCTATCCAGGGTCATCTGCGTTCCAGTCAACCCGAGCGGAACAGGCATGGGGGATGCTGCAGGGGCGGCGTGGGGCCTGGTGGTCATGGGCCTCTCACCCTTCAGCCCACTTTCCTTTGGCCGGCCCTGGATTTCAGCCCACGTGACCACCGGGGACACTGAGGAAGACAGCCTGGTGTGTGACCGGAAATAGGTGTTGCCGAGCATCAAGACGAGGGCTGAGACTATCACACAGAGGGCGCTTCTCAAGGTCACTGCTCGCGTCATGTACGTTCTTGCATTTGTGACCTTGCATCCTGTTTGTGCCCTTGAAGTGCGTTTCCCGTAAGCTTGGCGCGTCGCTGACTCCCGCTTTACTTAATCACGCTGACGCTCCCTGCTCCCTCTGCCCGGCGGATTCCCAGCACCCACTGCACTTGTTGATGGGGTTGTATCTTGGTATTTCATGCTGCCTCTGCCTTGACTTTTGGTTCACCCTCTTTGTATTTCATTTAGTGGCTGTCAGGGTTTCCTTGTGCATCTTTCAATGACCACTGTCCCCCTTGAGTGACCACTACGCCACTTCACATTGTCATGGGCGAGCCCTCCTGTTTCCTACTGTTGGTACAGGTGTTGCTGTATTATAAACCCCACCACGCATTTTTATTATTTCTGTCTTAAAAAGTCAATCGTCTCTTAACAACATTTTTTAAATGAAGGAAGGAGTATTTGATATTCATTCTCATATTTCCTGTCTCTGCTGTTGTTTGTTTCTTCCTAAGCGTCTGCCTTTCCATCAGCATCATCTCCCATCAGCCAGAAGAACGGACTCCTGGCTTCCTGGGAACGCGGCAACAGCCTCTCACAGCTCTCAGTGCCTGAAAATGTCTTCATTTTACCTTCGCTTTGGAATCATAGTTTTGCTAGAATTGTATTCTATGTTAGGAATTCCTGTCTCTCTGCATTTTAGACATGGCGGGTTTCACAGGAGAGTCAGTCATACTGTTGGTCAAATTGAGACATTTTTGTCTAACGTTCCTTCAAATATTCTTCCTCCCCGTTCTTTCTCTCTCCTTTGGAGCCATTGTACCTTTGTGGTCTTCTTGACACCTCCCTGTTGGTCATTACGGCTGGCTTTGTTCATCTTTTTAATAAACTCTGTTCTCCATGCTTCCACTTGGGTATTATATCAGCATGTTTCCACACTCAGCACGTTCTCATAGTCACTACTCTTTTTTTGTATTGTCCATTCAATGAATGTTTTTTTATTTCAGATATTGTAATTTTTATTACTAATATTTGCAATTGGTTCCTATTTAGACTTTATTTCTTTTGAAATCCCCCACTTCTTCAACCATTATAGCTATCGTATTATTTAAAATGTTTATCCTACTTATTTGAAGTCCTTGTCTGTGGATTCCAACATCTGAGGCACCGTTCACTTGATTCTATTGCCATTTTCCTCTTGGTTAAATAACGTTCTCTTATTTTGTGTGTCTAATAAGTCTTGATTCTGTGAGACACATTGTGTATCTGTGCTCCTCCTCAGAAGACAGCAGAGCAGGTGCTGGCAGGCAGCGTGGGTCGCTTTGATCCTGTGGGTCTTGGCTCTGGGCTTGTTAACGTGGCTCTGTCTTGTCCTTAACCCATGGGGTTAAGCTTCAGTCCTGGGATACTGTCCTTTTACTTAAGGATCTGGTCTTCTGGGGTTTCAACCGAAAGCCTGAGGTATTTATCAAATCCATCTAAAATGATGGGACTTGAATGCAGATGGCCTCCCTGACACTGGGACTGCTAAAATGCCCACTCAGCTGTGCCAGCCTTCCAGCGGTTTCCCTCCAGGAGGGTGACTGCTGCTCATCTCATGCATGCTCGGATCAGCCGTCAGCCAAGGATAGCAGAGGGTCTTATAAGCAGATTTTAGGGCTTCCCCGACATGGTTCCTGGTCTCAGGATTTTCCACCCCAATCTCCAGCCACTCCAGTAGCCTAGATCTCTGACCCCAAGTCCCAGCCTAATAAGACAGCCTCCCCTTCCTTAAGCAATGTCCCCTGCATCACAAGGACTGGGGAGACGCTCAGGAGCAAGTCGGGGTAACTGCAGATCTTGTCCTGTGTGGCTCCCTGCCCTTGTGGCTTGCTCCCAGCTTCTGCTTGGTTTTAGTCACTCTCCACTGCCTTCAAGTGGTTGTGTTTTCATCTATACTTTAGAATTTATTACTTGTAGTGGCAGGAGAATTCATCCAATCTAAGCTATCTTCTAATTACCAGATGTCTGAAGGGTGAGTTTTCTAAGCACTTAGTCCCACAAAGCCTGTCTGAAGAGGTGGCATTTGAGAGCCGAAATGCATGAGTCAGATTACACTATTTCGATGAGAGTTTGACAGAAAGGAGATCTCGGTGGGCTTGGAAAAAAGCAAGGAGGCCAGAGCATCAGAGGGTGTCAAGCACGAGGTCATTGGTGGGGTCTGGGAGGTGCTGACCACACAGGTGTGCTGGCATCTGCTCCGGCATGAACGTTCCTCATGTCCCCTGCACTACCGATGTGACCTCCTAAAACTCAACCCCAATCACACACATCTCCTGTTCCCAAAACCTTTCCCTGGGTGTCTGTCCTTTGCTCTGAACAGAGTCCACTCCAAGGAAAGTGTCCAAAGGCACGCTTCCTATTCTGGGCCCAGCCTGATAACCAGCATCATCTTTCATTGTTCTTCTACCCTCTGGCCAAACCGAGGACGCCACCATCATCTACACTTGATGCCTCAGTGTCCCGGCCTCCCGGCATTTCCTATAACGGTCTCCCAGCTGTGAGCACCCCCCTGATTCATCTGTAACCACTTCCTGTTCGGTCCTTTTATTCCGTCTCCCACCTGAGCACCAATCACATTCCCCCAGAGGAAACTTAACCCCAGCTGTGGTGGAACAAACCATGTGAGGCCCTCCTGTCCTCCGTCCACGGTCATGTCCACGGCCTCAGGCAGGGGATGGCACCTCCGTCTCCCACAGATGTTCAACAGGTGAAGCCAGCATCACACCCTGTCAGGGCAGCTGCCACACTCTCTTCCTCTCATGCTGTTTTTCGGTATCAAATTCTACTCCAATAAAGGTTGTCAAGTTTATCCTACCAAAGGATTACCGATAAAAGGAAAAAAAAAGAAAATAACAATGTCTCCAGTCTGAAAGATTTGCATTTTAAAGAGACTCCAAGCTTTACACGAAAGGAACAAAATCTCAGCGTCACAGGAGCCCTGGGTGAGGGTGGGGGTGGGGTTCGGCATGTGTAGAGCTGTGTGGATTCCAGGATGCAGGAGGCGTCCTCCTAGTCTATGGCCGAGCTGGGCTCAGGTCCAAACACTGGAAGACCCACCATCGTGCACGGTCCAAGCAGCAGTGGGACACCTGGGAACTTTCTAGAATTACTAGTGCTTGGCGCCACCCACACCTCCTGAATCAGATGTTGGGGGAGCACCCAGCAGCATGTTTTAGCAGACCCTCCAGGTGACCTGATGCAGGCCCCAGTGGGAGGACCACCGGCCAAGGCTGCAGTGGCTCCCAGGCCCTGACCTCCACCCCACGGCTTCCCCAGAGCTCGGAGAAGCAGCGGCCTCCTCACCTGTGAGACAATTCTCTTCCTTTACTCAGTCTCCTCTCATCACCTGGTCCCAGGAGCCCCAGGCGTGGAGACCGGGAGCCACCCCCTCTGCGCCACCCTGAGCTGAATATGGAGCCCTGATGGACAGCCCACTCCACCCCGACTGTCACCAGAGCCAATGCCTGGCCATGCGCGTCTCCTGCCTAATATGTTGCCAGCCTCTGCCTCTAAAGAGTGTGCCGAACAGGCGGCCATGGCGGACACTCACCTGCACTGTCCCTAGGATGTGCCAGGCGCAGCTCCGGCAGCTCCCGTGCCATCACGAGGGCTGGTGGGCAAGACTCCAGGCTGAGTCAGCTGTGGGCTCGTGCCACCCGCCTGGCCCAGGGAAGCACGTGGCATGACTTGGGCGTTTCCTACGCTGCTGAAGGCAGCAGAGCTCAGGGAAGCTGGCATGGCAGCTGCTGTCCCATGGCTGGGGGTGGGCCACGACATTCGCCACCTGGCCAGCTCAGTGTTCAGTCCTCCAGGCCCAGGAAGCCTCTGGGAAGGATGAGCCGGCCCAGCTGAGGCCAATGAGCGGGACCACGGAGTCAGAGCCAGTTCTCATCCAGGCCCAGGCCCAAACCTCTCCTCCACGAAGCCCCCTGGCGATGTGCACTTGTGGAGACCCTGCCCTTTCCCCATGTCTGTGCCCCCTTATCGCAGCCTGCTGGGGCCTGCAGCTGGTGGAGCTCAGGTAATGGGCAGTGAATTCCTAGTGCCTGGGGGCACCTGAGCGCAGAGGCTGCGTCTCCTCCATGTTCCCGTCGCCATGGCATCCGTGTGGGCCAGGGCGGGGCTGCACCACGGTGGACTGAGGGCACGCATCCCTGGCCCCCGCCCAGGCTGCCTTGGCTCCAGCTGTGAAAAACGGGGCTCCTTCTGCCACGCCACGGATGAGCTCCTTTCCTCAGTGCACCTTCTCAGGCGCTGACGGCCGAGGATGAGCTCCAGGATCCAGGCTTCAAGGACAAAGGGCCCCTCTATTGACAAGCATTCCAAACAGTTTTGGCACAGATGGACAGAGCGACCGACAGCACAGGCAGGCAGGAGGCGCTCCAAAGACATCTGGGTCCATCTCCAGTCCGTCTCTTGTTGCAGGTTAGCTCACGTCTTCTCCTGCACAGCAGCCCGCGCCCAGCAGACCTGGCCCTCAGCCTGTGGATGGGCCTGCATGCGGGCATGGCCTGGGTGGCCTCCGTGGGCTCTCTGCAGTGCCGCTCCCTTCACTGTGCCCACATCACTGTGAGCAGCTTGTCCTCACTACTTGCTTGCAGGCTGCTCAGTGACTCACAGCAGAGGGGTGAGGCCTGTGCCCCAAGATCGTTTGGCCAACGTGCAGTGGGCAGCACGGATGTGGCTGGACTCCAGGACACGGCCAGGACACGGCACAAACGCTGAGGCTCCAGCACCGAGTGCTTCTTCTGCAGGGTCTCTCTCATCGGACCCTACAAGCTGGTGAAGTGCCAGCCATATGCATTTTATAGGTGAGGGCACCAGGCCACCAGGCATCTCACTTGTGACCTGTCCCCATGCCTACAGGGCTAGAAGCATGCCCATAGCCTCAGAGGTGACGAGGGGCACCTCTTGTAGTTGGCACCCACGCTGAGAAACACACGTCTCGTGGGTTCCTTCCCCAGTCATCTCCGGACGGGAACTCTGCCGTGGTGACAGCGTGCTGGCAGTTTTGCGAGACCCCAAGTGAAGTCCCAGGTAAGCTGTGTGCAGGTGCCTGACCCACAGGAACGTGGGAAAATACGTGTGTGCTGTTTGAAGCCTCTAAGTTTTGGGGTGACTTGTCATGTAGCAATGAATAATACAGACTCTAAAAGGTGTTCTTACTTTGCCTGTCTCCCATAATTAGCCTTTTAAAAGACCTAACCATTAAGGCCGCTCGGTCTAGTGGTTTCTACATTTAAAATGAGTTGGAGAAAGTCCCAAAGGGCAGTGGAATTCTTGCACCGTCAGACATGTCAGTTCCCCATGTATGCCTGAGAATTAGACTGCTTTCAAATCTATGTGCTATCCATTTGTCAATTAAAAAAAAAAAGGAAAAGAAAAGAAAAACAGAAAAAGCAGGATGTTTTGTGCGTGTGGCTTCTGCTGAAGAATCAACCCTGGGAGTTCACTGCAAAGTGGCCTTTTCCTGGCTGAGGCACTGACAGACCCCAGGGCAGCTAGCTGGCCATCACAGGGACTTGGGTGCAGCGAAGGTGGCCCTGCAAACCTTTCTTGCTTGTGGCAGGTGGGTCAGAAGGAGGGACAGCCCCAGCTCCCACTGGCCGTCAGCGTTTGTGGGCTGGGTGGGGGTGGGGGACATGGCCACAGAGCCGGGCCCGGGGGCATGGGCTCTTCCAGGCCGCAGGCTCTTCTGGAGACCAGGTCCCGTAGGGCCTCAGGCTGTGCCCCCTGAGCCCGCTCATCCCCAGGGATTCCGTGAGTGGACCGGTATTCCCTCTCACGCTGGGGCCGGGCGAGGGTGGGGAGCTGGGCTGCAGGGGCCTGTGGGGCAGGGCGGGGGGCAGGCCTGCCATGGTAAGGCCGTCTCGTCTCCCTGGCCCCTCTCAGAGGAACCACCAACGACCACGACCACGACGCCCGCGCCTGCGAGCCTCCGGCGGCTCCTCAGGCACTGGGTGCGGCTGTCCCGACACTCGTCCTCAGGTTCTGCTCATTGCTTGTTCCACGCTTCCACACCCCTGCATCTGGCATCAGCACTTCTCAATTGTATCCATTGGCGGTCCCCGTCACACTTTTCGGGCAGTCAATACATTGTCATTGATTGAATGAATGAATGAATGAATGAACACTTGCTGGCAGAGCTTTGGGGGCAAGGCAGCCGGGAGCATGCTTCCTGGGGCAGCCCTTCTGCCAAGGGAAAGGACCCAGAGCTGACACTGCCCCTTCCGCCCTCTCACCTTGCCCGCTGAGGAGGCAAGACACGGGCTGTCCCAGCAGGGTGGGTGATGCACTGGCTCTCCTGGGCTCAGCCACCACTCAGCGGCCAGCCGTCCTGGACCGAGAAGGCAGTAGGACCCCAGCCCTCCTAGGCCCCGCCTGGCAGGTTGGCTGGGACGCACAGGTGTCTCCATGTCCATCCACCATCCAAATGGAGGCGCTGCCCGAGGCAGGCTGGGGTCGGGCTCAGCTCTTGGAGGCCAAGGGCCCTGGCAGAAGGGCAGGAACCCGCACCCTGATACCTGGAGCCCAGGAGCCCAGCTCTGCAGTGACAGAGGCCTCTTAGAAAAGGGCCCCTGACCCCATGCCAAGCTGGTGGGCACACACTTCCTATCTTTTCTCCCTCCCTCCGTTTCTGCCACTCCACGAACACCCCAGGACAGGGGGCAGCAGTGGGACGATAAGGGAGACAGGACATCTGCTCCAACCCGAGGAGCTTCAATTAGATGAACAATGGCCTGCTCTCTCTTGTGGACACAGATGTTTCCTTACTTCCGGCAAGGACTAACAGCCCTCTGGGAATGCTGGCAACAAAGGGGCAGCGACTGCCGGCTCCTGTGGAGGGCTCCACGCTCATGCCATTCAGGGCTCCCGGGACAGACCACATGAGCTACAGATACTCAACCCCTTTGCAGCCGAGACCCAGGCCGGGTCACCAGCATTTCCACGGTGGAGTGTCTCTCTCAAGACTGGGAGCAAAGGCCAGGCGTGTCTCCACCCACTTCTCCAGGAGGCCCAGCCCAGGTGTAGTGGCTGCGGGTGCTTGGTGAGCTCATGCTGACGGATTGCTGGGGATGTGAGTGTGGGTGCAGAACACATGTGGGTGCAGGGGATGTGAGCGTGGGTGCAGGGGACGTGCAGGTGGGTGCTGGGGACATGTGGGTGGGTGCAGGGGACGTGAGCGTGGGTGCTGGAAACGTGAGTGTGGGTGCAGGAGATGTAACTGTGGGTACAGGGGATGTGACCGTGGGTGCTGGGGATGTGAGTGTGGGTGCTGGAGATGTGACTGTGGGTGCTGGGGATGTGAGTGTGGGTGCAGGGGACATAACTGTGGGTACAGGGGACGTGAGCATGGGTGCTGGGAAGTGGGGGGCCTGGGGCCAGGAGAGCGGTGCCCAAGTCTAGCTCCTCTGCTCCAGTCCCCGGGGACACGCACATGAGCGTGCACTGTGCCCCAGGCTCCCAGTTGACCAGCACCTGCAGGCTCTCATGCCACAGCCCAGCAGACGGGCAGGTGCCTTCCTTGGCCGGGTTTCCAGGGGGAGGGGAGATGCACAGAGAAGTGGGGGGTTCTGCAGGGCCTCACCCGCAGGGTCTGCTCACCTGTGGGGTTGAGTTCACAGCACCTGCCTCCAATGAGGGCCTCCCTCGCCCACATCTGGGCACCCTGGGTAGTTGGTGCAGCCCTGGGGGTCCAGTGCTCCTGTACAGGTTCTGGGGCCTGCGGGCCACTGACTCCTGCGGGTGGGGTGGGGCTCTCTGTTGGGTTTCGCCGGCTCCGCTGTTTCATGCAGCAGCCTTCAGGCCTGCCCAGCTTGATGGGAGAGCCACACCCTGCCCATCTCCTGAGTGCTGTATTAGGCGCCACCGTCATCCACGCCGAGGTTTTAGGCGATGGGTGTGCTGCTCACACCTGGGATGCCCGAGCTTTCATTTGGCGGTTGTCCCTCAAAGCGTTTCTCAATTTTGTCTTTAACCATTGGCGCTGGGAAATGGCTGTCTCTTCCAGGCCTGAGATCCCCGGATCCGCGGACTCTGTCTCCTTTCGACCTGGCCAGTCTCCTCAGGGCTTCTCGCCCTCATGTCATGCTTGCCAAGGGCAGTCGGGGGTGGGGGGCCAGCCTGCAACCCTGTCCTCCTCCTTCTGACCTCTTCCCCAGGCTGCACACTTGCCAGCTGTCCGCCACAGGTAGCAAACAGCCACCTGACTGACCACATGATGCCCCTGGTGACGGGGAGCCTTCTGCCCTCTGATGACAGCTCCAGTTTCCAGGCCTGACGTGACACTGCCGACTTTCGTCTCTTGTACTGAAAGCAGCCCCCAGTCTCAGGTGCACCGTCCTATCTCTTTCAGGACAGCCCAGGCTGGTGGCACTCAGTCCTTAGCGAGCCCTGAGTCGCCTGGAGGCCTCGTCAAAATGCAGATGACGGGCCTCTCCCCAGTGTCCAGGCAGGACACAGGGATTCGCGCTTCTAACTAGCCAGCACTGTGGCTGCCGGGCCACGGACCACCCTGGAGAAGCACTGGCCTAGGTTTGGCTGCAGTAACATCTTTCGACATCGATGGCTTTAAGCAACAAATCGTCTTCCTCGATCGTGGGACAAGTTTATCGCAGGTTGGCCAGGGGTTCCCTCTGGGAACCTGCTGGGGATGCGGCAGAGGGATTGCTGCTTCAGCCTGGAAGGGCCACGCGCCACTTCTGCTCAGGGTCACTGACAGGGCGGGCCGCACGCCTCGCCCAAGGGGCCCTGAAGTAGTGTTCTGTTTGGACAGCAGGGTGCAGTGGCCCCGGCTGCCCAGGGTGAGGATGAGGCCCACACGCAGTCAAGGTCTGGATGCCCAAGGAGTATGGAAACTGCCCAGGAAGCCTCGAGCTGGCGCCTGGCCACGCCCTAATGGTGGCGGGGAACAGCTTTGAGGGTGATGGCTGGGCTCTGCCCCCCCTCTTTCTGGGACCGTTGCCAGGATGGGAATTTCTACTGTCCTGTGACCGGGTTCACACACGGCTGTGAAGCAGGGAGGGCTCTGGTCACACTTAAGAAGACAGCCAATCATGTGTGTTTACAGTGGAAACAGTAAACTCGGTTTATTGAAAAACTATTACAATTGTTCTTCTGTTACACAGGTTTAAAATATTTTAAAACACCCTTTCCTGGGCATTACAGTTAAAACTTATGAACATGTCTATTGGGTCTTTAGGAAATGTACAATGTGCCATTTGACATTATATTTTAAAGGGCCAAATGTCCTAGAATCTTTTCCAGACGTTTTCTGTTTACTGTTTTCTTTCTTTTTACGTCAACATGTGTCCAATTATATAGATTAGGGAGAAAAAAATAAAATTACGCCAAAATAATTTCTGCAAATATAAGAAGTAATTTTATTGCAATATACCGCAGCTAGGTGGTCTGGGGAGAACGGGACACGTTTTGACTTCAGTACAAATTACAACAGCTTTGAAGGGACCAATGGAGGAAGAAGATGACAGAATAAAGGGAGGGCTCGGGAGGGATGAGAAATTCAACCGGAATCACATGACCTAGAGAAACCCACAGGGTGCCCGCGGCAATCCTGGGGTATGGCTTTTCTTTTGAAGAGATGAACATGACAGTCATTGCGCATGCTTCGTCCTGGGTTTGAAAGACCCTCGAAGCTCGACTTCTCTTTGGCAAGAGCAGGGCTCGATTTCCACGGGCATTCGGGAAGTCCTCGTGGGTGGTGTTGGGTTTCTCCTGGGCGGCTCTGCTGTGGTCTAAGCGGGAACCAGGTTCCGGCTGGCGGGGCGGGGTCGGTGGAGGACAGCAGCTCCTGAGGGGGCTCTGCCAGGCCGTAGGACCCAGCTGGCTTCTCCCATTGCGGAAAGAAAGGGCATTGCACGAGGGCAGCTTTTCACAGTAAAGGGATGCTTTTCCTCGCCGGCCCTCGGGTCCTCACCCACAGGAGGCAGCCCCGCATCCCAGGAGAGGGAGCTGCACCCGGGCTGAGCCTTGCCAGCCCCGAGCCCCAGGCCTGCACCCAGGATGAGGCAGATGGCATTTCAAATCACGCACGTGGGAAAGGGGCCCTGCTGGCGGCCCTGGAGAGACACAGAGTTCCTTGCGCGTGTCTCCATCTGCCAAGGCCGCGTCGGGCAGCCCAGCGGAGAGCACAGGGGACCACTGAACAGCTTCGATGCAGTTCTTGGAACAGACACAGAAATTAGCACCACAAACATTCGGCAACCGAATACAGTCCGCTAAATTTACACCGTAGGCCACGCGGAAGCATCTTGGATTGTGTGTGTATTTTCAAATCACAGAAGCTAATACTGGTCACAGGATTTGGAGTGGCTGCACACAGCCTGGGGGCACGAGAGAGAGAGGGCCCAGCGGGGAGGACGGTGACGTGCATGTATCTTAACGTCCTTGGCAAAAACCCGGATTGTGGAGGAAGGTGGGAGTGAGGCACGGCCAGGGACCCCCACAGTGTCGCCTTCAAGGTCTCAGAACAGATAGCACCACAAAAAAGAAGTGTAAAAATAAGCACCAATTTTCACTTTGTTATCATCTATAGAAAACGTGGTTTCCTGCCCTGGCCATGCTCCCACCAGGCCTACAGGAAGAAAAACGGAAGAAGGAAGCCATTAAAGTTAATTGAAGCCTGCCTTTTAATCTGAGTGCATGTAGAAAAGGTAAAGTGTAAAATTCTTTTCTTCTTCCCCATTAAAAAAAAATCCAGAGCTAATAAAAACTTGCCAGGGAAGGGTACTGGCACCTGGTGTTTATATGGTGGCATGAATCCTCGCTGCTCTGGGTGAATTTCCAATTTAGGGCATGTTCTTGTCCAGGGTGGGGCGGGGCCTCCCATGTCTCGGCGAATCAGATTTCATCCAGAGGGGACACCTGCTCCTGGTCCCAGGGGACTGAGCTGGGTTTCCATGCGTGATTGAAAGTCAGGGACACTGAACATTCATGACAACACAATACAAATATTTACTTAAAACTCACAAAAACAAAAGCACCTTTGATCCACCGGGAAGGCCCAGGAAGGATGACATTTGGCCTGCGATCGGATCGTGTTGTTGGGATCGGAGGCTCTGGCGGGCAGGGGCGACCTTTGTGCGGCTCGCCTCGGAACATTTTTTGAAGGTCGGGGGAATACACATCTTCAAGTGGAATTTTTAAAAAGGAGTGATCTCCAGATACTGCAGCCCCACCCCCGCAGCCCCGCGGACCCTCCATGAACGCCATTGGCCAGCTCAGCAGCATGAAGCGTGGCCCCTGTCCCCACCCCCGTGGAGCGTGGTGTCGCTGGGACGCTGGGCCCCGCGGCCGTGGGGCATCTAGGTCATGTGATTCGGCTCCAGGGTGGGGGGTGGCTCTTTCCCTTTGCTCTCTCTGGTTTGGGGTGCGGCCCGGCGGGGTGCTGAGGCGCAGACGAGGTGGGGGAGGGGAGAGGGGCCTTCACTGTCCAGGACACCCACAGGCGGCACGCTGAGGTCACGAGGTTGGTCGTGGGGCCGGGCTCCTAGCCCAGGAAACAAGCCGGCCCCACTTCAAATCCGAATTTCTGTGCGGCTTCCCCGAAGTCGTTGAACATGATGTCCACGATGGGCACCTGCTCCACCCTGGGCGTGTCGATCTCCAGCACCGTCTTCTGATAGCCTTTCCTCGTCTGGGAGCGGGGAGAGGGGCGCGTCAGAGCGTGGCGGGGCCTCCCAGGCCACCCTCCCCCGCCAGATCCTGCCCTTCCCGATGCCATGGCGGGACCCGCCTGCAGCACTGAGGCCCCAGGTGCGAGCAGGAAACGTGCCAGCCCAGAGCTGGCCTCACCCCACCGCGTCCCACTTAGTCCCCCGCCCCCCGCCACGGTCTGGGAGGGGGCCTGTGACAGAGTCCCAGCATATCCGGGCCCACCTCCTCCCCGCGCGGCGGGCCGCCCCTTGTCGTACCACAAGCTTGGCCCAGGGCAGCCCCGTCAGGCCTGTGGGCCCCACTGGGACCCCCAGACCACTGGCTCCTTGTTAAAAAACTAATGATCCCAAGGCAGCAACGACGGCCCTTGGCCTCAGCAGGTTGGATCGCACTCAGAAGTAAAAGGATTCCATGTTCAGTGGAGCTCGGAAAGGAGGGGACCTTGCCCACTGTCGGGTCCAGAGGAGGACTGGGTAAACTGAGGCACACAGGGAAGCAGTGGCTGCCGGGTGCGTCAGCACCACCTCACTCAGACCACCCGTTTAACACCCACAAAACTCACTTCACTCTCAGCTCAACCGGGGCTGGACACAAGGGCCACCTGACCAATTAGGAGTGAACATCAGAGAGGTGACAGAACTGTCCCGGGAGAGGTGCTCTCCCTGCCCCCCTGCTGGCACGTGTCCCAGGGTATAGGGAACAAAGGTGCAAGACTGCCCTGGTCTGGAAAGCCACCCAAAGTCACCTCTGAGAATTCAGGACACTTAAAAGTAAGGCTAAACTGGCCCTGCCTTCCTGTCACTTCCCCTATGACAAGGGTCCATGACCATCGTAGATGTCCACCTGCCGACCTGTCCTGGACAAGCGGTTTTCTGTACCTGGGACCAAGAACAGAGTTACCCTTTCAGCTGGACCTGGCCCGGGGAGGGTCTGCCTCCACCATCCAGTCCCTGGCGATGGAGTGGCTGATGGCGGATGGCGGGGCCTCCTGAAGAATGGGCCAGAGCATCCCCGCCAGGGAGGCCGTGATGACCACGTGGACAAAGCACCTGGACCCCGCATGGCACATGGGAAGCACGCAGCACAGGAGCTGCTGTAAGGTGGCTTCCGCTCCCTGGGTGGCCATCTTCACGAGGGCCCCGGCTCCCTCTGTCACCCCTCTAGGGGGAGCTGCATGCGAGCAGCCCCCCGGGGAGGCCCGTATGGGCAGGAACAGCCTCCTGTGTGCCATCCTGACGCAGACTTCTCAGGCCGGCCGTGCTGACAGCAGTCAGCACCCTCATGGCACCCACCAGGGACTGAATGCTGTGCCCCCCCAACCCAGATGTTGATGCCTTATCCCCAGCGTGACGGTGTTAGGAGCTGGGGCCTCTGGGAGGCGACTAGTCATGCGGGTGGAGCCCTGTGAACGGGATCAGTGCCCCGGAAGGCTGGCCCGCTCCACCGCGTGAGCACTGGGACGAGGGTCCTCGCGGGACCCAAACATGCTGGCACCCTGATCTCAGACGTCCGGCCCGCAGAACCGTTGAGGAGTCAATGCGCTGTTGACGCTGCCCGCTGCGGGGCTTGCTCAGTGCCCAAGCTGACTGAGACCGACCCGGGCCAGAAGGGCCCCGCGGAGCCACACCCAGACCGCACCCTCAGAAAGCGGCAGGTGACAAGCACTATGGGTGCAAGTGCTAAGTCTGGGGTGACTTGTTACGAGCAATAGGTAACTAACGCGCTCTCTGCAGCCCAGGTTTCTGAACTGGAAATGGGTCTATGAATATCACAGCAGTGGTGTGAGAGCCACATGGACCATCTGTCCAGGGCTCCGGGCAGCGCCAGGTCACACCACAGGGCACCCGGTCACCATGCCTGTGCATTTCCTGGCCTCATCGCCTTCTAAAGTTCCCACAAACTCTGTCCTGCCTACGTCCCTGCCTTCATAAGACACCTGACTCCCGCTGGCCACTGGGTCAGGCTGGGGTTACTTTAAAGCGGGGTTGGCCCTTCAGAGCCAGTATGAGTCCCCAGAGAGCTTGTCAACACCTCGTGGCCCCGACTGCACCCGAGAGCCAGGTTCAATGGGTGGGGTTTAGAATCTGCATTTGTTTATCGGCGTTTCAGGCAATGGTGACATACGTGGTTCACTCTGGATAGACACTGTCCTGCAGAACTTGTCATAGGGTGGCCAGGAACTCAGCAGCACAATGCTGATGCCTTTAAGCAACGTGGCCTAGCCTGGCAGACCACAGCTGGGGGGAAGGCACTGCACTGGCCTGCGGGACAGCCACAGCTCTCCATTTCCAGGGAGGCGGGTTAAGGACCAGCTGCAGCTCTGCAGCTACTGGGTGGACAGCAGGGGCTGGACAGTGTCCCCAAGGCAGTGGCCACCTACCCGCTTTCAGGGGTGATACCCTGGGAGGCAGCGGACCCCTTGCCCCTAACCTGGCCAGGCCAGCGAGGAGGAGCCAGAGTCCACCCCGCCTGCCCAAGCCTCTCTGGGCCTCTGCCCGCTCACCTGGTCCACATGCCGCACAGTGGGCAGTGCCCCCTGGTTTCCTTGCCCAGGGGACGGCGGCGTTTGCTGGGCTGGCCGGGTGATGTCTCCTGGATTTATGGGGCCCTAACGCTGCAATTATCAGAGCACTTAGAGGGGGTGTACGTAAACAGGCTGACGCGTACAGGCTGCTGTCACCCTGCGTTCCTGAGCATAAATAACTATTGCAGGTGGCAATGGTCCCCGAGGGGCAGGCAGTCACACAGACACCGGGATTTACGTGGTGAGGCTCCCGGGCCTCGTGTCCAGTGATTTGTGCCTCTCCACAGGGCCAGGCCCTGCTCCACAGCCCATCAATCAGGCTACACAGCTGCCGATGCCCGCCCACACGGGAGTCCCGGTTTCTTCGGCCCTTACTGCACTGTGAGTGTAGCCGGCACATATCAGGGTGTCAGGGCCTCCTGCGTAATTACGCAGGAGGGCTGAGACTTTCCAAGTAGGGACTGACTTCCCAGAGGGTTGGGGTGAGCAGGGCACTGGCCGCTCCTGGCCAGCTTCACTGCAAGCCTTCTTTAGGAGCGCCCCCTTCCCTCGCCCCCCGAATTCCCTGCCCAGCCTGCCTGCAGAGACAGCTTTCTCCATCAGCAGGGCTGTTCTGCCTGGAGTCACCGCCACCTTTTCAAAGGCAGACTAGGCTCCCTGTACCAGGTGGCACGTACGGGGCCGCCCAGAGGGTCTCCTTCCTGCCGCGGGAACTGGGAAGTTCAAAGCCAAAGCCCAGACTGGGTCCCCAGGCCCTGCCTCTCTTCCGGGGGCTCCTCGTTTCTCATCACAGCTCCCCCTTCACTGCCTCCTGCCAGCGGGCCAGGTGACTAAAAATAGTCATAGAGACGGGGGTTCTTCTGGGGCGTATGGCGAGCGAAATGCAATTCTCAGCTCCTTTCAGGCGTGACTAGATGTGCTCCTGGAAGGAGCCTGCGAAGCAGCTGCTGTCATTATCCTCGCTCGTGGGAGGCAGCGACGGAGGGGACTGTGCTTCTGCCTCACGACCTTCTGGAAGCAGCTTGGGCTGCGTGTCAGGAACAGGACAGGAACGCTGCTGGTGACGTCTGGGTCCTTTCCCAGGGCACTGGGTCCCTCTGACCTCAAACAGGGACAAGCCCCTCACACTCACCACTCAGATCTGAGGTGCGGACCCCACGGACCCCAGGGCCACGGAAGCAGGGGCAGAGGCGGGCGCTCCATGCAGCCTGCCCACGCCTGCCCTGTGCCGCTCGCCCTCCATCCCCAGAGTAGCCCCTGGGGCAGTTTTCACTAGACCATTTGTGGGGAAAAGGAACAGAGCTTCCCAGGGGCGCTCAGAAGGGGGGAGGCAGTATTTGGACCTGGGTACCCCCAAGTCCTGTTCTCGGCGCTACCCTGCAGCCAAGCCTGGGGTCAGCACTGCTCTCTCGCGTCCACCTGCCCAAGCCCGCCCTCAGAGCCACCAGGACACACTGGCCTGGCCCGCACAGCACCGGACGGCCTCCGCAGACACGAGGGAAAAGCCCAAATCCCACACAGCTGGACAGGAGGGAGCGCCTACACCTGTGATGGGGACCAACCCAGAGGCAACCTGGCTGCTCACACACATGGAGGCGGCTCAGTGCTCGGGACACCCCGTCCTCCCGCCTGGCACACTCTGACCGGCTCTGGCAGGTGCCCGCTGCTCTGTTCAGGGGGGGCTGCAAGAGAACTGGTGGAATGTCTGGAGCCAGGAGGAGCCAGACAGGGTCACCGCGGGTTGACTACACTCGGAAATCCATGGGACGGGCCCGCCTGGAGCTGGGCCCAGGACGTGTGGAAGACCTCCATGACTCAGGAGGCGCCCACCATGGTGCCTACACAGAAGGGCCTCCGTGGGCGCAGGGCTGGCTCTGGAACCTGAGCGGGGGGCAGACCCCACACGAGCCTGTCCCCAACGGGAGCTGGCCTGGGCGGGGCCTCGGGCAGAGTCTCTGGAGAATAGGTGGTGAAGAGAGAGAACTGGGGTTTCAACAAGGCTGGCCCCCTGTGCATGGCCTGGGCCTAGTCTCCCAGGACACGGGGACGCAGCTCAGCCCTGGGGGCTGCCCAAGGCAGACGGCAGCCCCCAGAGGTAGAGTCCTGAGGGGCTGACCCTCGGCTGGGGGCCTGGCCTGGCTCGCGGGGGGTGTCCCACGTGGGGGTGCAGAGGAAGGCAAGCACACTGGGGCCGAGAGGCTGAAGAACAAATGCAACCCCAGCCCTGACTGGCTGTGTGGCCTGAACACGTCTCTCGCCTCTCAGGCCTGCCATCCCTTGCCAGGAGCAGAGTTGCCCTTCCAGCGGGTGGCATTGGAGCCAGGAAGGTGCCCGAACCTGAGCCGGGCTGTTACGGGGTTGCTGTGAGCACCCTCAGCGTCCACAGCCTACTTCCCGGCACAGCCGCGTTCTCAGGAGCAAATCTAAAGCCAGTCTCAGCTCTGGCCATTCCAAGCTGGACTTGTCTGAGGAGAGGGAGCCTGAATGCTGACGTGGACTACAACAGGTCCATGCCCCATCCCACGCCACACCGGGCACAGGGCCTCGGACCCGGCTCCCTGGCCCTTCCTGTCTGCTGTCAGCTTTTCCTCCTGACCCACGTGTGGTGGACTAGGTCAGCCACACGCTGAGAGCAGCCAGCCTGCGGGCAGCGCCTCGTCTGGGCCCCTGCTGCACCCAGCACGCAGCTCAGGGCCTGGCACATGGTATTGCCCGCAAAATGTGTGTCGACTGAGTGAATGAACAGCTCACTGGAGGTGTGAAGGGATCCCCCCCCCCAAGGTGCGGCCAGCAATGACACTCACGGCACAGCCGTCCACCAGGGCGCGGATGTAGGGGCTGTTGTCATAGGACATCTCCTCATCATTAGAGCCCAGGAAGCGCATGGCCTTGTCGTAGCTGCCCGTGGCGGCGTCCTGCCAGGCGACCGACTGGTAGCAGTTGTAGGTGATGTTCTGGTTGGCAGAGGCGCTCAGCAGACGCAGGAAGGTCATCTGGACCACGCCCACGGGGTTGCCCTCGGCGTCCACGTAGGAGAGCTGTGAGGGGACAGAAAGGGGGCACTCAGCAGTGAGGGGACACACTGCAGTGACAAAGCCCCCCATGGTCGAGGCTTCACAGGTTTCATCCACCGCTGTCTACCCAGAGTGTCAGCCATGCCGGGGCACAGCCTGGAAACGTGCTCTTATGGGGTCCCTGGAACACAGTGAGCCACGCCGCACTTCTTTCTGGACCTAAGAAGCTCACCCACTCCTCTGTGCCTGGCTGAACCCCACTCATCCTCCAGGGCTCAGCTCACGTGCCTCCTCCTCCAGGAAGCCTGCCTGGGTTAGGAGCCCTCGCGCCTCTCCTTGGCCTGGCTCAGTGTTCACCTCCCCAGCAGGCTGCAAGGCCCTCCACACCAGCACTGGACCTGTGTCGTAAGTGCTTAGTGCCTGGTCTGCAGCCCTCGCTGGACGGTGAGCACCCTCAGGGCAAGCACGTCCCTGCGTTGTGCCCTGGGCTGGCAAAGTGCTCATTAGGCTATGTCAACAAATAAAAATCATCTACCAAGCACCACTGATGTACGAGGCGCTGGCCAGGGGGCCACGGGAACGTGAGGTACAGAAGGCAGGAGGCCTCGGGGAGTAACTGGCCAGCGGAGCAAGAGGCTCGGCCAGCAGGCAGGAAGCCGAGGGAGGGTCACGGGCCGTGCGGCCAAGAGCCAGGGGGCTGAGGGACGGGGTGCCCCTCATGGAGACACAGGGGAGCCACGGGGTGGCGTCCAGTCATTCCCACCCCTTGCCGGGCATGGAATCCAGGGGCGAGCAGAGGAACCTGGGACGGTCAGCTGTGCCCATGCCGAGCGGGGGCGGCCCGGGGCACTCTGGTGAAATGACCCTCCCTCTGCCAGCAAACCCAGGGCATAAGGGGCAAAGGATGTGCTGGCTCTGAAGTGACTTGCCCAGCGTCACCAGCTGGACATCTCCAAACTGGGCTCTTAGCTCAGCAGGCCACGGGGCTGGTGAAGGGGTCCCAAGAGATGAGTCCCAGGTTCTCCATCTTGCTTGCAAACCCCAGATTTCTGAACACCTGGCACTGCCAGGGGATGTGGCTGCTTCTTAATCCCCTGGGACAGGCAGGTTTCTCTCCCCGCCTGGGCACCACCCAAAAGCCCTCTCTGCCAGGCTCTCCTCACACAGATGCCCGCTGAGAGAGGGGGCCGTCGTGTTTTTGTGTCAGATGACAGCGCAGACAAACGTCAGGGTCTGAGGCCAGAGGGCCTATCCCTCGCAGCTGCCACTCCACGGCTGTTCTGCCCCCAGCCCTGCCCACCCCAAGAGAGCCACGCTGAACCGAAGGACACTGTCCACTTATGCGGTGTATGTAATCGGCGAGAGCTGGAGGTGGGGCCAGGCCCACGTCCCGCTCCTTTGCACAGGGCGGGGGCCGCACAGAGCCCTGGCCACCGACCCTTACAGGTGGACCCTGAGGGGGAGGGCTGAATACCAACCGCAGTCTGGGCCATCCGGCACTCCTTCTGGGAGGAAACGTGACTGACTCAAGAAAGGACGCATGCACAGGGAGAGGCGGTGGGCGGTGCTGGGCACAGAAGGACCCTAAGCTTCCAGCGCCGTGCTGGGGCCCCAGATCCCACCGTGAGGCCCTGCCCTCCCAGGAAAGGCGCTCTGGCCTATTGTCCTCATGTGGTGCGTCCGGGGCAGCCGGGCCCCAGTAAAGCGCCTATTTCTTCAAGGAGGGCTCTGTACCACCCTGCGTGCTCGTGACACTCTCAGGGATCTAGGACTGATGCGTGGGAGAGCAAAAGGGAGGCTGGGGCTTTCACTGCACCGTCCCCGCCCCTCCACCCTAGTCAGCTGTAGAACAGAATGGAGGCAGGACGTGGGCTCTTGGGGCGGGTGGCTGAAAATGGGCGTCCCGTCACCATTTCCTGGGAGTGAGGTAAGCGGGTGTGGGGTATGAGGGGCCTGTCTGGGGGCCTCCCCTGGGCCCGGGGCTGCACCCCTCCCCGGTTCCTTCTCTGCCTCACGGCTGTGCCCACCCCCCGCCCTCAAGCACCCCGGGCCCTGGGCCCTCCCCCTCTGAGCGGGCATCACTTCAGGTCCTTCTGCGTGCCAGTCGCCCTTTTCCGAGGAAAGCACGAGACAGCGGAGGAGGAAGGACAGCAGCAGAGACAGGAGGCGAGAGGCCTGAGGTCACGCAGAGAACGACCTCCCACGGCCAGGTTGGAAGCGCAAACCTTCAGTGTCTGCAAAGACCTGGAGCGACTTGGAGATCAGTGACAACAGGTGAGTGACAACGAGGGCGCGAGATAGTAAGGATTAGCCATGAAGTGCCTTGAGGTTTAGGAACGAGGGGTTTTTGGAGGTGCGACAGGGCAAAGCTGCTTGGAAGCCACGGCTCTGCGAGACCATGGGGCCAGCGTGGCCTCTGTGCCCCCCGCCCCCGGAGGCTGGGGTGCAGGGACTGATGGAAGATGGTCAGGTCGGAAGTCATGGAGCCCAAGAGCTGGCTTCCGAGCGAGAAAGGACCTCCTTCGGTGGCCCCTCAGGGGTGGGACTAGACCCCAGAAACGACCACAAGAAGCATGTCGGGCTCTGATGGCAGCAGGTCACACTCTGCAAGCTTGGTCCTTATGTGCTCGGGAGAGCGCATGGGGCTCTGCACTTCGTTCCGGAAAAGGCCGTCGCACTCGTGAGGGGCTCTGTGCATGGGCAGCCACGCCGCACGCCGCACGCCGCCAGCCCCTCCCCGGGGTGCAAGGCACCATGTCCGGTTCTGACAAGGATGCCTATTCTTTTCATTTCGGGAAGGATTATTTAAGACTGGCTCCCCAGAAGTTCAAACAGGGGCTGACAGCCATATGGGACGGCCAGCTCGGGGGTCAGAATGGCCCCGCGGGCCCTCGCGGTGGCCAGGGAGGGGCCAGGGCGATGGTTCCTGAAGAGCGCTCTGAACGCTTTCGTGGCCCAGGGCCCGTCACAGGGCGGAGCAGAAGCAAGTCCTCCTGCTCCTGCTGGCTTTGGTCTCGGTCCCCGGCAGCCCCAGCTGTGGCTCTGGGCGCCCTCAATGCCAACCTCATGTCCCGGACTGAATAGAAAACCATCTGCCTGCTCCCAGGCTGACGGGCACTGTCGTGGGCGTGGCAGGAGTGGGCACCAATGCTGCGTCTGGCTGTCACGTGCCGTGGAGCGGTTTGGCCAGAGGGACCCGAGCAGGCGCGGCGCATGGCGGCCGTGAGTCCATGCAGAGCCGCGAGCCAGGCCGTGCGGCAAGCAGGCAGCGCCCAGTGGCACTTACCAGGGACCCTCGCTTGTACTGACTATACCAGGTAGAAGGCTGCTCTTTGGGCCAGCGGGCCATTTTACTCTGCAAGATAGGAAACGGGCGGGTTTAAAGGACAGCTGTGGGGGGGCCGGAGCCGCCTTACCAGTTTACCGCGCTTGAATTCACTGAACCAGGAGCCCGGGTTTTCTTTGGGCCAGGAAGTGATTCTGGCCTAAACATCGAGCCGGGGAGGAGGAGAGGGAGAGAAACAGAGAATGACAGGGTTACTTCTCCTGCCTCCACGAGACGCCCCACGTCCTGCAAACACACCTTCGCCCCCGCCGGGTGGCCCCCCCGCAGTCCTGCCCTCGCTCCAGGGGGCCTCGATGACTGGCCAGCAAAGGATCCCTTTAGGCGCCTCAACTCCTCCTAGAGCTACAGCACCAGTGACGACAACGAGGACCCTGGCTTCACACGCAGGGTCGCAGCCTGCATTTTATCCGTTGTTGCACATCCGGCACCGAGGACAGTGCCTGGCCCTTAGCAACTGCTGAGAAATGCTTGTGGGGTGAAGGAGTGAATGAAGGAATGGACTGTCACAGGCCATGACAGTGATGATGATAATAAGAGCCAATATTTACTGATGGGCCCAGGAAAGGACGCGTGGACATCTTGTCATCTGAGCCCCGGATCTGAGGGGTGCAGCTCTGTCTGCACGGCCTCCACCTGGGGACAGGGTGGGCAGAGACCCTGCCGGGCGTCTGTGACACAGTTGGACCAGCTGAGGGGGGCGGTAAGGGGGTGGTGTGTGTGTTTGAGTGTGTGTGTGTGTGTGTGTGCACGCGTGCGTGTGAGTGTGTGTGTGTGGTGTGTGCGTGCGCGCGCGTCTGGTGTGTGTGTGTGCGTGTATGTGTGTGGTGTGTGTGCGCACGTGTGCATGTGTGTGTGCGTGTGCGCACGCGTGTGTGCACATGTGGTGTGAGTGAGTGTATGTGTGGGATGTGTGTGTGAGTTGTGTGTGAGGCACATGGTGTGTGTGGTGGGGAGCTCCATCTGGGACGAGCGGCCTGGGGTTGGGTCCCCTGCAGCACTAGCGGTGTCCTGGGCTCCTCCAGTGTGTCCCTGAGGAAGCAGCGTGACGCAGGCACGTCCTCAGAAGGAACAGCATCTGTCCCCCAATGGGAGGGGTGGGGGCAGTTTGCTCCCTGCAGGGGCTGAGTAAGCGAAGGAGTGAGTGAATAAATGAGCAAATGAATGAATGAGCCCCTCTAGGAGGAACCCTGCCACCAGCTCCAGAAGCAGAGGTGCAGAGATGGGAGCGGCATGGACGCGCCCGTGGGCTAGCCTGTCCCCCGGTTCCAGGGACCTCTGCGTGGGCCTCAGGTCAGAATCCTTGTCCGCATCCCCCTGGCTCTCCTCTGAACTGGCCTCACACAGGGGAGCCGGGAAGGGGGCCGCTGGAGGGGGGGCTGTGTCCCCTGCCTCCCGCCCCTCAGCCCCCACACTTTGGTTTCCGGGTCTGCCGCTGGTGGTGCCATGCTCAGATAACAGCCTCCTCGGGTAATGGGACCAGAGACGCAGGCATGTGCTCGCCTCACCCCAGCCTTCTGCCTGAAACCCCTACCCCTCCTCCGGGCGACTGGGCAGAGGGTCTCCATTTGCACAAGGCTGAGTGGCCGAGGCCTGAGCCCGAGGCTCCCTGCCAGTGGACGCCTGGCTGGTCAGCACACGTGCAGAGGAAGGGCGAGGGGCAGCGGGCTCACTCAGCGCCCCAGCCCCCATCCGCCCAGCAGCACCACCAGCGGCTAGGGCTCCCCGGGGCGAACTGCTAGTTCTCCAGCAGCGAGGCTGTATGCTGAGGACAGACAGTGACAAAAAGGACGAGAAACAGTATCTTTTCCATCTGACTTTCCTCTGGGCCTCTGCCAGATGGGAGCTCCTGAATTTTGAATTTTCTCTGACCCTCGGGGGGTCTGCTGCTGGGAGTGCAGGTTGCCAAGGGTTTCAAATTCTGGGTTGGGGGAGCGTGCATGTCAAACAGGGGTCCCCAAATAGTCCTCGTCAGTGTGGAGCCCCCGTTCCTATAAGCTAGGTCTCCCAGTCCGGGGGGTGCTGGAGCTCTCCAGGGTTACAGCGAGGTTTAGGGACAAGGGACCACACCCGGGAGGACACAGCTGCTCTCCCTCCAGAGGGACGTGCTCCCAGGCACTGAGGCCACTAGGAAGTCGTGACCACGAGCTGCCGACTCCTGCTGGCCTGAGCCCGAATGGCAAACATGGCCTCTAGGAACTGGCCGTCCTTGTCACAGGACAGCTAGTTCTCTGAGAGGGACATAAGGAGGAGGGTGTGTTCAGGCCGATGCAGAGGACGTTGTGGCCGAAGTCTCCGTCACCTTCCCAGTTAGAGACCTCATCCTCCTCACATGTACTGGGCCAACGTGATAGAAAGCGGCACACATCTGCCATGCATGTCCGTCTATGCACACACACCATCCACACGCCTGTCTGTACACACACACACACACACACACACACACACCCCATCCATACGTCTGTACACACACACACACCATCCACGTGTCTGTAAACACACACACACACACACCATCCACATACCTGTCTGTGAACACACACACCATAGAGGTGAGACCTTTGAAAGACCTCAGAGGTAACAGTTAAATGGACACCCACAGCATCGCAATGGGTCACAGCCTGGCTAACCACAGGTATTTACTAAACACAGTTCTGACTGTACTCGGGAGAGCAGCAAGTGCCAGGGAAGTCCCAACACGAAGAATCCAGGCAAACATCAGCTTCTAAAAGACACACTGGGGTCACTTACGCCCCCAAAGTCCTCCGGTGGGTTTTGGGTTGGTCTGAGGTTAGAGCTATGGAGTCACTTAGGAGGGATCTGCCCAGCACCGGCGCTGGCAGGGGACACCCACGAGCCAGCTGCCCTCCACTTCTGAGACCCAGGGCTGCAGGGACCCCACCCCATTGCCAAGAGCTCTTCTTAAAACAATTTAAGGGCAACTTCTGGAGGGAAAACCTTGATTTTGAACCTGGCTGATTTCCGGTTTTCATTCCTAAAGCTGCACGCGTGAAAGGCCAGGCCCCGCTGTGAGGAAGGTGATGGTGGGCGGCGGGCACTTACCCCCTCAGATTTCTTGTCGGGGAAGACGCACGTGGCCCCTCCGGCTGTGAAGTTGCAGTAAACTTTGAAAGAGTCCTTGGAGCAGCCTTGGTTTGGATCCACCCAGTATTCGCCTGGATGCGGGGGGTGGGAGGGTGCATGAGAACCGAGCCTGGAGGGCTCAAGGAGCAGGTGCGCCATTTCAGTTCAGCAGCTAAATTAAACACGCCAGCCCACACGCTGTCAGCACGGCCTACCCCGGAGTGTGTGCACTGCATTTTGCTTTTTCTAAACACACGTGGGCAGACTCATCCCCAAGAACACACCGGACGCGGGGGATGGGGCACGTGCCCCCGGCAGGGGAGGCGGCCCTGCGTGTTGGTGGATGGAAATGCCGAGATGCTCCCATCTCTGGATTGCAGCACCCCTCCGCTCTTGCACGAAAACGCTCAGACCCCCAGAGGGAAACGGCGCACCAATTCCGTTTTATCCTCCAGTGGGTTCGACATGGTGAGAGTGAGGGTGGTTTGCGGGTTTATGATGCCCTGGAGGCGGAAGAGTGCCTCCCTAGATACTTCTAACAGCAGCATTAACACCAGCAGTAACCCTGACGCTGACCGTGGCAGCCACGGCCGGCACTCACCGCAGGATGTGCCAGGTACCAGGACAAACCACTTAAGCTCCGGGTCATTTCGCTCTGTCCTCTGCTGTGTGAATACTCGCATTGGACAGACAGGGACGGGAGGCTCAGGGCAGAGCGGGCTGCCCACGAGGCGAAGGCTAAGCCTAGGCTGGAGCTGGCTCTGTGGGACCCCGAAGCCTCGCCCTCCCGGCACGTGTCCCAGCGCGATGCCTCCGTCAGCTTACAGGGAGACGCCCAGCACCCCCACGGTACAGATGGGCACGCCAAGGCCCGTGTCCTGCCTGCCGCGCCCACGGCCCCAGCCTCGCCCCTCTGCTTGTCCCACGGGTCTGGGCGCAGCGCCCGCCCTACCATCCGGGAAGTCGGGGTGGCACAGCTGCAGGTCCTTGCAGGTGCGCGCAGGGTTCTCCTGCGTGCCCAGCGGTCGCTTCATCTGCTCGATCTCCAGCTTCAGGGAGTTGAGCGAGCCGAAGATCTCCTCCATGCCGTCCGCGTAGTCCATGTAGTTCTCGCCGTCCCCGTCGTCCAGCAGCTGGCTGGCGTCGATGTTCCTCCTCGTCCTGGACGCTTGGATGGGCAGGGGCTGGATGACCTCGCCTGGGGGGCCCTGGGTGTGGGAGATGGGCACGGTGGGTGGGGCAGGCAGGCAGGTCCCAAGCTGTAGCACCAGCCATCTCAGCACGTTGTCTTCCCTCTTTCCTGCCTCTGGAACCTTCCACACCCTGTTCTGAGCCTCGCCTGCACCGAGTGCTTCCTGCTCTAACCCGAATCCCAGGTGCCCCTCAGGCCCAGCCCCACCACCGCCAGGCCTCGCCCGCCGGTCCTGCAGAGCCAGCCCTCGGCAGTGCGTAGCCCGGCCTCGTGCTCAGGCGCGCTGCCCTCAGCTGGACGGAAGGCACCTGGCTCTCCTCTCACCTCTGCTGCCTAGCCCGGCTGCACACAGCGGGGCCACATTATGCCTGTGATGCCAGAAGGCTTCACCTCCTGGGTCTGTGTCAGGAGGCCCCAGCCAAGGACGAGGACAGGAGTCGAGAGGCTGCCACCGCCAAAGGGGGGGTGTCCCATGGCGCTCACCGGCCTGGCTTATGGTGGGGCTCCGTCCTCCACCTCCAATCCTTGTCTAGAGCTGTCCACCTGACACGCGCGTGAACACATACACATGCACAGGTACGCACAGACATGTAGAACATACACACGTGTGCTCTCTCCCTTCCTGTCTCTCTGTCTGTCTCTAGCCAAGCAGACACCCCAGGGTGGGATGTCCAGCCTGGGGGCCATTTGCTTCCCTCAGCTCCATCCCTGGGACGGGTCCCACCACGCCGCACGCCACATGGGCTCCATCAAGTTTCGGCAAGTGAACGGCACCATCTCACCACAGAGCCCTGGGTGTCAGGAGGACCCCCACCCCCACTTCCACATCTTCAAAGGCTGCTCACCGGTGGGCCGGGGAGTCCGGGATGGCCTGCCTCACCCTTCGGGCCAGTTGGACCCTGGGGAAAAAGAAAAGAGAACCCACTCTGATCACTGAGGCACGTCGTGACTTAACCCCCCTTGAACGCTAGAAGGATCCTTGACAGCCTGTGTGGAGAAGATGGAGGGACAAGCCTAACGTGCCGCGGAAAGGTGACAGGGCTCTACTCCCCTCCCACTCCCAGGGGGAAGAATCTGGTGTCCCCGAGATGGGGACCCAGGGGACAGAGTCCTTTCTGTAAGGTACTCAGGCTGGAGATGAGCTCAGCGAGAGGAAGGGCGTGAAGGGCTGCCCAGCCACGAGTCAGGGGAGGGGGTGTCCAGGGTGCCTCTCACCCAAGGGGACACATCCTTCCCCGAGGCGGCATGGGCCCCTTTGGGGGTGCACACCACTTACCGAGGAGCCCTTAGCACCTTTCGGACCAGGAGGACCCTGCGGAGAGTGGGGGCAATAGCAGGGCATTCGTGAGCAGGCGGTCCCATCACCTCCGGGCCCCCGCCCGCGACCCAGTCCCGCTGGGGCCTGCTGGTCTTCGCCCCTCCTCACACCCGTGTCCCCCTTTCCAGGAGGCTGTGCTTGCACTTGCTTAACTGGGGAGCTGGGGATGGGGCCAGGGTGTGGCTGGCGCTCTCCCACATGGAGGCAGGGAGGGTCCTGCTCACCCCCGGTCAGCCCTGCAAACCTCCCAGCCAGGCAATGGTTCAGGCAGCCAGAGTCAGAGGTCAAAGCGGGCGTGCTGGCCTCCGGCCCTGACACAGCCCCGCCAGCCCCTACGGGCCGCTTTCAGCCCGGGCTGGCATCAGTCAGGCCAGGGCCACCTTGGCCACGTGCTGGGTCTCCCAACACCATGGGGCAGCCCAGGCTGGTGCCTAGAGCGTGGGCCCCAGGTCCTCCTGTCTGGGCCAGGTCAGCTCTGCTCACACTGATGGGGTGCTGGGGGACCCCTGCTGTCTTCACCTTCCCCAGAATGTGCACATTTTCTGAGCAGCCCTGAGACAGAGGTGCCCCTGCCCTGCCTCACCTGAAATCAGGGCCCAGAGACCCCACTTCCTTGCTTCTGTCACTCGGAACCCCAAAGTGGAGTTAATGAGCAAATCTACTTTGGGGGCCCAAATTCTGGGGGTCTCACGCTTTCCTGCGAATCTCCAGTCACACAGAGGCCCAAAGCCAGCCCACCCAACTCCCAGCTCTCCCAGCAACAACCGGGGAACCATGCACCCCTCCCAGATACACACCGGCAAGCCGGGGGGGCCCGGGGGGCCGAGCGGGCCGGAAGGACCAGTGATGCCCTGCAAAGGAGCAGAAAATGCAGTGACCATCATTGGACAACGAGGGCTGGAGGCAGCGTGCATCCCATCCACACAGACACATCTCTCAGTGCTCGTCGGTCTTGCCCTGAACGGACGCCCTCCGACATGGGGCCGGCTGCACTTTGAGGAGGTCTACTCATCTCTGCAGGGCCCTGTGGGTTCTGAGGCCCACCAGGAGGCTGACCGCCCCAGGCCTGCTGCCTTGGCTGGCCGGAAGGGGCTCTCGGCATCTACAGGGCCACCGGAGGCGCCTTCGTGTTAAAACATCCCTCCTAATGTAGTTTGAAATGCAGGAGTGAGCTCTCTGATGTCCGTCCCTGGCTTGGTCCCCTTTCACTGTTCTCTATCGTGGTGTGGGCCTCCCACTAATGGGGTCCGGGGGCAGGGGACAGCAACTGTCCTGGGGTCCTATCTGTCCATCTGTCCGGTCCAGCCTCTAAATCTACTGGTGGTCAGCGGTCAAGTGACCATGTGCACTACCACGGCGCCGTGCACGCAGGCCAGGCGCACTTCTCCTGGAGCCCAGCCACGTGGGTTCCCCCTGGGGCGAAGCTAAGCCAGGGGTGCACGGAGAGCAGGTTTCACTCAGCTGAGTGCCTTCTTCCTCCCTGTCTGCCGCGGGGACAGGGGCGCCCCTCTTTGGGAGAATCCCAGAGTCTCCAGCCAGCACCTCCCATCAGCCCATCAGCCACGCTGCGGGGACCAGCTCGGGGTGGGGGCACAGAGGGCGGCAGGCACCCTGCACGGCCTTCTACTTCTCACAGTTGCTGGGCAGCCCTTGTCTGAGCGCCATCATGGCCTGGGGACACTGGGCCGTGGGAAAACGGTCAATGCCACGGGGTGAACGGTGGTGGATAAGGGCAGGGTTCCCAAGGACACCACCCCACAACCTTTGGGGACTCAAGGATGGTTCTACTTTGTTCCCTGCCCCACGGGCTCCACCCTGTCCAGCTCTGTCCCCTTCCATGTCAGGTGTGGGCCAAGGTGGGCACGGCTCAAAGGCACGTGTGTGCTCCGCCACAGCTGGTCTGGGAAGCAGTGACTGACACTCTGCAATGAGGCCGGTAGCCCTCGGGTGGGGACGGGCAGAGAGCAGGTCTGCCACGGCCCCTCCCGCCTCCAGGGCACGCATCGCCCCTCCCCAGGCCACGGGCCCTTCTGCACCCTGCCCTCCCAGCAGCCCCTCAGGTGGCTCCCAGGTGCCAGGCAGGGCCCAGGGCTGGGCTACAGCTGTGTGCCAGCTCACTGTGCCCCTGCCAAACATCCTCTCAGCTGCTCCCATCTGGATTCGATGGCCGTGAGGACGTCCCTCTGGCTTTAACGCTGTGGGTCCTTTGGGCACAGAGAGCCACAGTCCTCAGAGGCTTCTCGTCCCCTGCAGGGCACAGCGCTGGCAGCTCATACCTGTTCTCCCTTAGGGCCGGAGGAGCCCTGGGGCCCGGGGAGTCCGCGGTCACCCTTTTCACCCTGTTCACCCGGAGGGCCAATGAGGCCGATCAGACCTGGATGACCCTGTTGGAAACAAAGGCGTGGGTGGCAGCTGTGGTGCTGGTGCCTCACGCCTGACCCCACGGGCCAGCTAGCGCGGCAGCACGTCCACACCACAGGATGCCACCGAGTCGCCGGCCAACGTCCCCTGGAGCTGAAATAATCCACAGGGCAGGCTGGGGAAAAAACAGCAGCTCTGAGATGATAAAAATCCTACCGAAGAAACAGGGAGACGCAGACACAGACCCCATGGATAGAAGGGGCTGCTGGAGGATAACACTTGTGTGCGCCTTTTCCCGGTTTTTCTACGGTAAACACACACCTTTCGTTATGAGGAGCAAAAGCCACATTCACGGATTTACATGCAGTGCCACGGTTACTTGTGTTTTTTTAAAAAGAAAAAGGCTCTCCATGTGCTCACATGAGGTTGTTTTCTATGTGCCCGTCGAAGGCTCCGGAAGGGTTCCCCCAGCTCTCACCACCTTGGGGGCTGGGGTGGGTGGTGGTGGGTCTTAGAGCGGAACCAGAGAGGCGGCACGCTGCCTTCTTCCTACACAGCGGCTGGGCTCGTACGCGGGCCTTACGCGTGTAGGTAGCACAGTGTTAGCAGAGAGCCGCCCCAATTAGGGAGGGTGAGCAGTTGCTGCCCGCAGGCCTCCCACACGCTCCCTGTGGGAGGGGCTGGGGACCCACGTCCAGGGCGGGCATCTGCGCCTCATGTCCTGGACGCCCTTCAGCTGGGACCTCTGCACCCCGTGGGCCTCGTGGGTCCCCAGTTGAGGGCAGGGACTGAGTCACAGATTGTTGTCTCTGTGTCACTAGCCTGTAGCCGACACTTGACAGACACGGGTGACAGGTCAGTATTTCGTGGTGTTTGGAGGGCCGTAAACGCAGCCAGGTGAGGGCCATCTTACCTTTTCCCCTTTGGGGCCAGAATCTCCTTTGAGGCCGGGGAGTCCTGGGGGACCCTGCAGGAGGAGGTGGCGAGGTCAGGTTGGCCTCCCAATCCCTCCCTCCACCACCACTGGGGGAGCTCCTCGGGGTGTCACTCACCATGGGGCCGGGGGGGCCATCGGGGCCTGGGGATCCCGGGAGACCTTGTTCACCCTGAAACACAGCCAGCCCCCCGAGTGAGCCACGCCACGCCCATCCCCGTGCCCATGCCTCCCCCTCCCAGACCTCCCCAGCCCACT